TCCACAGGGACTCCTTTGGGGCTGCAGTGGGCACAGACTGTCAAAAATCTTAAACCCCTTTCCCATGACGAACCTGGCTTCTCACCTTGCCTGTGAGCAGAGGGCACGTGGGTCTAAAGCACGGGGCGGGTGGTTACGGGGATTTTTGGGCAGGGAGAAGAAGACTCAAAGTTAGGGAATCACATGCATGTATTCCCTCTAAATCAATGTTTTTCATTATCTGAAACTGAAAGGGTTTTCTCGTTGTGGAAACATTGCTCTGCACTATTCAATCAGTTTTAATTAAGTGACTGCAACGCATTAAATGGTGCTGTAGGAATCTTCTTGGGAACACTAGCTGCTCGAGTTTTACTGCTCCTCTTACAACCGTAAATAAGGATAAATGCCTAATTGCTACTGAGAGTGTCCTGCTGGACCTAATGAGCTGATTACAAACAATCCCTCATTGAGGAATTATTTAATTGTATCTGACTCCAGCCAGAGACTCCCCCCTGCCACCGCTAACCATGCCCATGCTCTGTCTGCCTGTGAGAGGCCAGCTTTGGGGTCGAGTTGCAGGATTGGGGCCAAGGAGGAGGAATTTGTTTCAATGGCCACTCCGAGAGGCCTCATTTCATTACTCCAGCCCTTTCCCGGGGTTATTTGTACCCAGGGGAAGTCAATGAGCTGTCTTCCAGATGAGAGCAAAGGACAGCGGTGAAGCAGAGCTGGGGCTCCTCGAGTGGTGCTGGGCATCGGGTGCACTGCAGCCAGCGGGGACGGGGTCCTGGGAGTCCTTTGAAGGGCCAGGTTTTGGCCGGAGCAGGATAGGAACCTCTGAGGAGCTGTGAAGGGGAGAGGGAGAACGTGGTGGTGTCTAGAGAGAAATCACTCCCTGGGGAAATCATCCATAGTGCTGCTGCTGGAGCAGAGCCTTTAAGAGATGGAGAAGGACCTCAGAGTTTTAAAAGCTGATTTTTTCCCCTTTCATTGCAGATTTTGAGTGGCTTACGAGCAAAGCGCTTGGATATGTTTTATATTTTAATTATGGGTATGTGAGCATTGTCTTTACATCAGGAGACACTTGAGAGCATGAAGCTCACAGCCGAACACGCGCAGGGCAACGCCGTGCTTGGATATGTTTTGTGTTTTAATTATGGATATGCGAGCATTGTCTTTGCATCAGGAGAAACTCGAGAGTGTGAAACCTGCAGCCGAACACATCGGGGCAATGACCCGTAACGTGGGCCGGGCAGTGTTTCAGCACCATCCGATTCAGCAGCACGGCCGCTGGGATGAGCACCGCGCGTCCTCCTGGGGGGTGCTCAGGGTGTCCCAGGGGCTTGTCCCTGCTGGTGGGGACGTTGGGCTGGGTTTTGCCAAGAGGAGGAGCAGTCTCCAGTTTAAAGGTCCTGTCCTGGGGTCAGTTATGCTTTTGTGCAGTGAAAGCTGATGCATTTACGCAGGCGGCTGGTTTGTCTGGGAGGAGGTGTGGAGCAATACTGGGGATGTATTTCTCAACCCAGTCTAGCAGCTTGTGAGAAGCGGCGTTGCAGAAGGTCATCAGGGAAATGGAAAGCACCGGGCCAGAAAGCTTCTGAACTCTGGAGGAGTATTTGGGGGAAAAGGCATCCAAGTCTGTCTCTCTGCTGCCTGTAGCTAGAGGAAAGTGGAGCAGGGAGCTGGCGTTTGTTGGTGCTCGGCTACAGCCTCAGTGCTGGATGAGAGCTGTGTCTGAGAAGCTAAAATCACAACGATCTGTGTGACATTTCAGGTTGTGTTGTGTTTTTACCACTGGTCCAGATTTTGGATGGGCTTTGTGTCCAGCCAGCTCAGAGGCTTTTGGGGCAGCCCTAGCCCCAACCCACCCAGTTCTGGGGCTGCAGCCACCCCAGGAGACAGCTGTAAGCATGAGGCTGAGAGGCTTGCAGAGCTCCTCTGGCATGAATCAAATCTTTTCTCTGTGCAACAGGGCCAGGAGCAGCTAGTACTGAACACCATGTCTGGGAAGAAGAAATTTCCTCTTCCCCTTTTGCATGGGAGCCAGAGCCCTGCACTCCATGAACTTCCAGCCTGGACTCCCACTTTGATGTCTCCCAGCACCACCAGCATCCCCAGAAGCACACTGGTTTGTGCCCCATCCCTCTGTGCTGGGGCGGTCCCCTCACGTCCCATCCCGTTGTGGAGCAGCCCCGACAATGGGGGCTGTGTTCGGCAGCACCACCCAGCCCCGGCAGCCCACCTACACGCTCAGGCACGGCAGCAGCTTTCGTGCTGCGCGGCGAGTCGCACCCACAGCTGCCCCGGAACAAAAGGGAGCCCAGCTCTCGCTGCTCCAAAGGCGGGGATGCGCTTTGTGCGTGCCTCGTTGTGGGGTTAAATATTTCTTCGTGTTCCTTCGGGTAGCGGTGCTGCTCAGCGTGGTTGCTCGTGCCGTACAGGCTGTCCCCCCCGGAGGTGTCCGGGTCCTTCCCACGTTGTCCTGCCCACGTCCTTCGGTCCTGAGCGGCTGGGTCCCCGCTGTTCCCATCCACTCAAACTGCAGCACTGTGAATTTCTCTTCTGGTACACACACAGCTTGTATTTCCAGTTCGAGTGTGGTGATGGTGGGTAGGATTTGTGTTTTTTTACCAGTTGGGTGCACAGATCCCTGCTTTGTGTCCTCTGTAGGGTCAGTGTTGGAGCTCAGTCCTTTTCGTATTGCCATTTAATGCAAAATCACCCACAGATACATGTATGGAGATATCTCCTAAGTCTCTGTGCCAGGAATCTTCTATTTTATATCACAAACATTTCCTTCACGATGGCCAATGAAGTCTCAAAGCAGTTTGTAGAGGTACCTAAATGCCTGCTGCCTCGCACCTTCCCTCCCGTGCTGTATCTGTGAACGAAGCAGGTTTTAAAGCATTTTGTGATCTTGAGAAGCACCACGCTGCGAGCAGAGTAAGGACACGAGGAATCTCGGTCCTGCTAAATCTCTGTCTGCAGTATTGGCTGGTTTAGTTCCTAAGTCAAACTTCTGCTTAGTAACAGAAAGGCATAAAACCAGCTTATCCATTACTCAGGGTAAGCCGTAACTGGAGAAATGAACCGCTCCAAATAATGAAGACTACAGATCAAAATGATGTCTTCCCTTAGACAGAAAGCTAAAGAAGTAATTTGAAAAGCTTTGTTCAGCATGACCTGGTCTCTGAGGACTGCGAAAGTCCTGGACATGACTTTAATTACTGGCCCGGTCCTATAATTATTTTGTCCTTCAACTATTTTTATTGCAACAGCTGGATTGGAAAATCCTTTGAATGAGCAAAAAAGATCAAAGCAACACTCCCCCTCCCGGCCCCTTCGCAACCTGTGGTCTGTAATCTGGTGTAACTGGGACGCAGCGGGCTGGCAACTTCGTTTGGGCTTCAGCCCCGGAGCAGGGACACAGATGGCCCAGGCCCATCTGAGCAGGGCTCGAGGAGGCTCTGCTCAGACCCATCCTTGAAATGCAGGCATCTCTGCAGGGTCAGGAATGCCGCACGGGAAACCTTGGGAGCTGAGCAGCTTGCTCTCTTAATGCTTTAAAAATCCTGGCCTGCGTGTTTGGTCTGCAGAGGGGTAGGAAGGATGCTCACGGTTCTTCCCCATCCCTTCCAATCCGATAAATGTGACAGCTTTCAGACGTTCGCTGCGGTTCCAGGGCGCGACGCAGGAACAGCATCTCCCTTAGGGGGAGCGAAACCCGGGGTGAATGGAGAAACAATTCAGCACTGCCAGTCCCCAGGAAGGGGAAAGCAGCCTTAAAAGTTGTCTCGCGCCGGGTTTGATGCTGTCTGGGGTTCGGGAGAGCTGCGAGAGCCATGTGTCAGGGCCCTTTATTTGCCGTGACATCTGCTCCTCGCCGGCTCCCCCAGCAGCTTTCCCCGCGGTACCCAGAGCCCCGCGCTCGCCGGGTTTTGTCTGTTGTGCCGGGCCCCCCTCCCCTCTGCTCCTGCTCCGGTCGGGGCTGGGGAACAGCTGAAGGGGCAGCAGCATCCTGAGCCGTGTCAGGTTATTTATATTTCATGAAGACAGGCTCCTCGTGCTTGCCAAATGGCCTCAGCGCACCGCTCTCCTGCCTGGCGACACGGCGCAAGGCTGCGCGTGGAGACGGGGAGGAGCAGCGAGGAGCCAGGCTGGGGATTTTCCACTGCTTGCTGCCCTGGCACTATTCCTGTCCTTAGCCGAGAGAGAGCTGTCTGCACGTCTGCTGCCCGGCATTTATAGCTCCGTTACGGACAGGGCTGTAACTCAGCCACGACGCAACCTCTGTGCTCCGGTAGCCTTTCTAAGGGGATTGTTATCGTGCAGATAAGGGTGATTTATCCTCCTTTCTGCTGTCTTTTAATCTGCAGTGACTCCATGGGTTTATCAACAGCGAAATAAAAATGAATGGGCAGGAAGACTCCGAGCGATGTGCTGCCCATCCCCAGGGGTTGGGATGGCTGCTTTGGGGAGTCCTGGGAGCACAGGGGCCAGGATGAGTGCCTGGTGCACCCAGGGAGAGAAGCAGCTGTAGAGTGGCTCAAAATGAGCTCATTTCGGTCAGGAGAGGGCCTGCCGTGCCCCAAACCTGCAGGTGCTGAGCCAGGATGGGATGCTGCACACAAGGGTGAAGGCATCAGCTCAGTGCCCGACCCCGGGCAGCCTCCTGCCCCTTAGTGCCACCACCAGCCCAGCTGGAAAAGTGGTCAGTGGTTTTTTCACTTGCCCTGGGTAACTTTCCTTCAGTCCCTGGGGAGAGCTATAAGGCTGAAAAGGATGAGCCCCAGAGGGCTGACTTCATCCCCAGAACAAAGCAGGGCTTGGGAGGACAATAACCACGGGCTGGTACCTGACTCACCAGAGCCTGGGAACTATTTCTGGCACCTTTACCAGCCCCATCCCTCTGCACAAACGCGTTTGGATCACAAGCACTCTCTCCCCGCAGCTGCCAGGAGGAGGAAGGCAGGAAACGGGGCCGTAAAAACGCGGTGACCTCTGCTCTGTGTGTTTTGCAGCTGAGGACCCAGGCAGCCCTCCTGCACGTGCCAGCGGCCAGCTCGCCTCGGGGGACGCAGCTGAGGTCGTGGCCTTGTCCCGATGTCCAAGATGGTCTTGCACAGACCCCACCTCACCTGCGCAGGGATAGCCTTCGCCCTGTACTTCCAGCACCTCGTCAGCGCCATCGAAGTCCCTTTGGATTGTAAGTTACATTTTACCCCTCTGATAACCTCTGCTTGAATGGGACACGAGGCAGAGCAGAGAAACGCGTGGAGCAAGCGGCTCTTTTGCTCCAGCCTAAGTTGTTTTGTTTTTTTTTTTTCCTCTGTTTTTTGTTTTGGGGTATTTTTCCTTTTAAACCACATGCCCTTCAGGAAGTCACCTCGGTCACTGCCAGCTGCAATCAGTCTGTCTCAACAGCTGAGCAAAGGACCTGCAGCCACCCACTGAAATGGGACGGAGCAGCAGGGCCACGCTGGGGAGCAAACCAGGCCCTGGCAAGCCTTTAGCCCCTTGGTTTAAGTGGAGCATCCCAGGATTTTTCTCTCTCTGTTGGGACTTTTTGGTTAATTATGTAAGAGGAGTGATGTTTTATTCAGAAGCACAGGAGCTGGGGTTATGGAGCGAGGAGGAAGGGGGTCGTGGGATGCTGTTTCTGCTGAATGAGCATCTTCAGGCCAGCACACGGGGAATGGATGACTTGTTTGGATGTGCCTGGGATGAGGGTTTGTACCGAGAGCGTGCTGCTAAGTCATGGCTCAGAGGCTCCGGTCCAGCTACTCTTCTGGAAACCAGTTTCATAATTTCTTGGTGTCCCGGCTTCCTCCTGTAGAGGCAGTTAATAACAATCAGGCTGTAGCTGCAGGGAATCTATTCTGACAGCGCAATGTACAGAAATCCTCCAGCGAGCAGTGCATTAGCAGAAAAAGCCCAGCTTTCTGCTGAAGTGCCGGGGTTGTTCTTGATGGCAGAAATTTCTCCTGTGTGGGTTGCTGCCTGCAGAGCCCTGAGGGTGCTGGCTGTACCCGGGGTACCTCTGCTGGGCAGCGAGAGGAGAAGGAAAAGTCTTCAGGCAGTGGCTTTTGGCTGAAATTTGGAAATTAGTGAAGAGAAGGGATAGGAAAGCTCAGGTTTGCCGAGGGGAATAGGTACCTGTGGGACTTAAATGCATAAGGTGGGGGTCCCAGAGCAGTCTGAGTTCCTGCTCTGCTCCATTCCAGATGGTTGTGGAAGAACAAATCTGGTCCTGGGGTCACCGGGACAGAAGCACGGCGCTCTTGTTCCCAGCAGTGGGAATTTATGCAGTGCACACAGCCTGGCGGTTCCTTCCAGGCCTGGCTTTGTTCACATCCATAACATTTCAGAAATGAAGGCAGCCGGCGTGGAAGTAGGGGCCAGTGCAGCTGGCCAAAACTGAAGGCATTTACAAACAGCACAGTGCTGCTGCTTCTTGTGCTTCCTATCAGACATGGAGGAGTTTTGATATTTGTATGTAATGTGACCTTAGAAAAGTAAGAGAAATGCTGACAGCTGGTGAAGAACTGCTCAAGGCAGCCCTGCCTTGCAGCTCACCATTTCTCCAGCCTCCTCCTCCCTGCTGCCCAGCACCGTCACCTCCAGCACTTAATGAGCCTCCTCCTGCCATCCCTTGAGTGGCAGCGATTGGTAAATACACAGCCCCAAACCTGCAGAGACTCTGTGGCATTCCATGGAGATCGTTGTCTTTTTAAGCTTCCCTAGGTGCTTTTCCCCTGCCCCATCCCTAACAGGGTTTATTCTTAGGATATAACCTCACCTGCTGCTGTCCCAGATATACGTACATCCCTATTTTGCTGGATTTTACAGGCACCTTCTCCAAGTTTGACCATCACCTAAAAAGCCAGCTCAGGGTTTATCAGCCTCTGATTTGAGGGGGATGAAATGGAGAAATTGGCTTCAGCCTAGCCAGAGGGTAGGGGGTGACATTGCCAGCTCCTGCGGCTGACCCGCTGGACCATGGGGACACCAGTTCCCGAGGTGAGCCCACCCGGTGCCTTGTGCCCTCTGATCAACCCTGCCAAAAAAACAGGTTCTCGAGGCAGTTAGCAGTTCATGGGATGCTCGGCAGCAGCTTCTCCCATATAACAGTAAGTAGGTAGATCAGAACATGCTGGAACTGTAAAATGAACTGTGTGTAATATTTGCAGAGCCCCCAGTAACAGTATTACGTTTGTGTGTGTGCATAATGTCCTTTTAATGTTTGTTCTGCAGTTAACCTTTTTTCTTCTTTTTCATTACGCTTGCACTTTGGAAATAACAGCAAATATTCAGAGTGAATGTAAGTGCTGCCCTCATCTTCTGTCTGTGCATTTTCGTCTCCTCTGCATGTCCGGAATGGCACGAGGGGTCGGGGCTGGTGCCGGCTGTGGCTTGGTGCGAGGTGTGCCTGGGGCATTGCCTGCTCCTGGTGGCTTCCTCAGGTGTTGGAGGGCTCTGAACCAGAAATTTCATATCTGGCCTGGGGAAGATGCCCAGATCTGCTGCAGGACAGCAAGAAGAGGCTTCTCCCTCTTGACATGACCCTCCTCACCGCTGTCATTTGCTTTGCAGTGCCCCAGCCCCCCACGATCACCAAGCAGTCCGTGAAGGACTACATCGTGGACCCGCGGGACAACATCTTCATTGAATGTGAAGCCAAAGGGAACCCCGTTCCCACGTAAGTGCCTCTGTGCTGGACCCCTGAAGTTTGTTAGCACTGGCCCTGGAGCAGCTGAGGCTCCACGTTGGCCACGTTGTCCCCAAAGCCAGCAGAGCTGTGCCACTGGCACCAATTGGCGCTGATTTAGCTGTTGTGTAGCACAGGTCAAGCTCTCAGCAGCCTCGTACGGCCCGTGGTCACTGAGCAAACCTCTCCCCTCTCCTCCCAGCTTTTCCTGGACGCGGAACGGGAAGTTCTTCAACGTGGCCAAGGACCCCAAGGTGTCGATGCGGCGGCGGTCGGGGACGTTGGTCATCGACTTCCACAGCGGGGGGCGGCCGGAGGACTACGAGGGCGAGTACCAGTGCTTTGCCCGCAATGACTACGGCACCGCGCTCTCCAGCAAAATCCACCTCCAGGTGTCCAGTGAGTAGGGGGCACGAGGCTGGTCCGAGGAAAGCAGGGGCTGCTTTGTAGGGGATACGTGGACAACACCCGGTGCTCAAACATCTCAGCCTGCTGCATCTATTACCTGCATCGGGATGCATCCAGCCGCAGGGCAGAGATAAAACCCAAGGGATTGGGGCTGTAGCCAACAGCAAATGCTTGGTGTAGGTTTAAGAGAAGCTTGCAGGCACAGAGATGAAGTTTGCATCGAGGTTGTTCCATTGAAACCAGGCCGGGCCCAGCGGGATGGAGGAGGGAAGGGATCGGCAAGGCGGCCGCCCTGCCCTCCTCACGCGGTGCCTGTGCTTCCCGTGGCAGAGTCTCCCCTGTGGCCCAAGGAGAAGGTGGATGTGATCGAGGTCGATGAAGGTGCTCCGCTGAGCCTGCAGTGCAACCCGCCGCCCGGCCTGCCCTCTCCCGTCATCTTCTGGATGAGCAGCTGTGAGTCGGGGAAGCCCAAACCCCTGCTCCCCTCCATCACCCACCTGCAGGGTTTACTTCCCCTAATTACGTTTAGAGTCATTATTGCTAGCTCAGAGCGTGGCGCCACCCACACGTGGCTTGGGTCGGGGGGTTGCTTTTTGCCCTCACGGGGTCACCCACCCGCAGGAGGCTCTGACTTGTCCGAATTTCCCCCGTGCAGCCATGGAGCCCATCCACCAGGACAAGCGCGTCTCCCAGGGCCAGAACGGCGACCTCTACTTCTCCAACGTCATGCTGCAGGACGCCCAGACCGACTACAGCTGCAACGCCCGCTTCCACTTCACCCACACCATCCAGCAGAAAAACCCCTACACCCTCAAGGTGAAAACCAGTAAGTGTCACGGTGATCGCTGCGGGTGGGTCTTCCCCAGCCCCCCTCGGGAAGGGTTCTCCTTTCAGGCACCGTTTCAGTCCTTGACAGCCTGCCAGGTAGAAGAGTGGCTTCCTTCCCTTTGTTCAGGGTGGTAGAAGTTGGGATGAGGACTGGTAGGGCCCGGGCTGCTGCCCCATAGTGAGGGGAAGCTGGTTCCCTCCCAGTGCCCCAGGGAGATGCTCGGTGCAGGTACCGCAATGTCCGTGCAACTGGGTTGAACTGGGAAGCACTGCAGTGCAGGTGGGGCGTTCCCCCATCCTCAGGGAGAAGTACAATGTCGAGTGATCTTTCCCTAGTTTGAAACACTGGAAATAGCCTTGGTTTGCTCCAGGTTTAGATTTATGGGGAACCCCCAGCCACGGTGGTGCTGCACAGGGGGGACTGAGTGTGTGTCCATTGCCTGACCAACGAGCCTCACACAAGGCTCGGGACTTAGCGGCTGTCCAGGAGCTGAGGCTCAGCTCTGGGACATGGCAACAGGAGGGCTGGAGCCTTTGGGGCTGAGTGGATACACACGGGATGTGCTCAGGATGGCCAGAAATGCTCGGGATGTGCTCGGGATGGCCAGCGATGCTCAGTGAGGAGCATCCCTGGGGAGCAGGAGGAGCAGGCACACGGCTCCCCCTGACCCCTCCATGAGCAGGGGGCCCTGGTAGCCTCCCCTCCAGCAGGGAGGCTGCTTGGGAGGAGGCTGGTTCCCGATGCCAGGGCACTTTCCACCAGCCAGCTGGTGGGAACAGGGGCAGGGGGCCACCAGCGGAGTGCTGCAGGGCACGAAGCTCTTGCAACGGCCCTTTCATTGCATGCACAGCACCGGCACAACCTCGGCTGCGAGTGGTGTGAGAGCTGCTTTTGGTGTGGGGATCGTTCCTGAGCTCCAGCTCTAGGAGCTCAACCCAATCTCGCAGCAACTGAGGCCGGAGGTAACATTATTAAAGCCTCCCAAAAGCAGGGAGCGAAGCGTGACACGAACAGGGCCGGGAGCGTTTGGCACTTGTGCCGTAACACCCTGCCCTCCGTGCAGAGCACAAGTGGAGATTCGGCAATATAAACGCTGTAAGCAGGCACTTTGCTGGTGGTGAGGAGTGTGCGCATGTAATTCACTCTGAACATTGCTTGTCCGTTTGCAGAGCTGGCCGCATAATGCCAACATTCACCTCCTGCTGAAGGGCTGAGTCCTGAGTTAGCAGGAGCTGCAGAAATTCTGGCAAAGATCGGTGCTCATTGGGGCCTCTGAGGTTTTCAGCCTGATGTATTGGTTTAGCTCGAGAAAAATATAAGGGAGAAATGCTGGGGGATTTCTGTGCAGGCAGATACAAGCAGCTACACCCTGATGCCTCCACAGCATCTGCTCCCAGGCTGGGTGGCACCGGGCCCTCTCTGTAAGCTTTCCTTTGGAAATTTCTGCTGCATTTCTGATGCAGATGCCACCTCAGACCCCTCCAAGAAACCCTTGTAAGCAAAAGAACCGAGGCTCCAATTTTTTGTCTGTTATGATTGAAAAAATCTTTATATGCACAACCTTCAGAGATGAGTTTGTCTCAAGCTGTTCGGTGATCTCTGCTTTAAGCCATGAGCATCAGCTGTCTTAAAAGAGTCACAGGCTGCTGGAAAACCATCGCATGTGCTTGCTATCTGTCTTCTTGATGCAAGGAGAGAAAAACACAAGGGCTGGGGCGAGCGACATGCCCCTGCCTATTTTCCTGTGGAGCATTTTTCTGGTGGCTCAGGGCTCGGGTGGCTGCCGGGCTCCTTTACCCTCCTGCGTAGGAGCCCACGGATGGGCTGACAGTGGCTGGGAATAAATGAGAGCAGCGTGCTATTGAGGGCCTGATGGTTTCGCATGGAACTCAATCTACTTTAATTGTCTGGTAATTAAAAGGGATTTTGTAGTAGATGATGATTTTGAAGCCTAATTGTTGTTATTATTTTTTATTTGTTCATCTTCTCCGTGCCTTTTTGCACCATTACACTGCTGCCTAGCTGTGTCCAGCCTGCTCTGTGCTGGAATAAAGTAGCAGGAACACGCTTACCTCCCTGAGAGAAAAATCATTTTCTTCTCAAAATTGAACGGATTTTTTTTTCGAAGATACAGATGCCATTGTACCAAGAGAAAAACACTTTGAGGAAATGTTTGTGATACGATTAGGTGGCATTATTCACATATTTAACTGTCTCTCCATTTCTTAGGAGGAAAACAAGCTTCTTTTCCTCTCCCGTGTTGCTGTGTTATGTTGCTGTTTGTCTCCCAAGGCAGCCGTGCTCCGAGTGCCTCTCTATCGCTTCTGCTGCTGCCCTGTCCCCGTGCTGGGGCCGTGGCTCTGGTCCCCGTGTCACCTTGCCCCGTGCCCCCGCACACCGCCGCACGCTCCGTGCCACTCGGTATGCTCACGCTCTTTTGTTTATTGCAGAGAAACCCCATAACGAAACGTCCTTACGAAATCACACTGACATGTACAGTGGTGAGTCTACACTGGCTTCTGGAGCCCCTCACGTGTTAACCCCCCCTGTGCCTAACCCGACTCACCCCGTGCTAACCGAGCGCTGGGCTGGCTGCGAGCAGCATCCCCGTGCCTCCCGTGTGCGCGCCCCCGCTGGATGCGTGTGGTCCCTTCTGTTGTCTGTCACCCAAACTTTGCAAAAACCAACGCGAGGAAGGGAGCCGAGCAACCCAGCGGTGACCAAATCCCCTCCAAGTTTTGATATCTTGAAGTGATCGAGGTTTAAGCTAATTAACTGGATACGCAGAGCTCAGCTTGAGAGGTATTTGGGTTAATAGGATCTGGCACAAGTGGAAATGTCAGGGGGTGAGCAAGTCCAGCGCCTTGTTCTTCGAAAAGGCTTCTGAATTAAAGATAAGACCCACGATCCCTCTCTTCGCTGTGCTCAGAACGAGCATCTATTGCACTGGCAGCCAAACACGGGCACTGGCTGGGAGTTAAAAAAGCAGTGCTTGGTGTTCTCAGCGCATTGTGTCTTTGCAGTGTGGTTACACGTGTTGAGCAGGGAGGGTTCTCTTTGGAGACTGCTTTTGTGCGGCTCCCTGGGGCACGATCCTGTCCCCAGAAATAGATGGGAAGCGATGGGACAACCCAGGTGAGGTGGGCAAGCAGCCCGGGCTGGTTTCGCTGCCGGGGGAAGCAGAATGGGGAGATGGGGCTGAGCACAATGCTGGGAGCGCAGCCATCACCAGGGACTGCTGGGGATCCCGCTATGCCCACGTCTCGTCCCCTTCCCTCTGTTTCCCCCCCCAGAGCCTCATTTTTTTTTTGGGCCCCTGCTCTGTGGCAGGCAGGAGAGACAGGCCAGGGGTGCTTCGGTGCCGTGGGAGTGTGAATACGAGTTCAAGTGGTGCTGAGCAGCAATTTGCCTCCTGGCTTTTGTCTTTGCAAGAAGCACACGCTCGGTTTGGGAACAGGGACTGGGATCTTGCTGCCTACCAAAGGTTGGGGCGAGGGGGATCTGACTCTGAGCCAGATCCGAGGTTCTCCTGCGCGTGTTGCCAAGTGACGCAGCCACGGGGGATTTCTCTCCCCCTGCAGATACTCCTCTGAGAGGCAGAGATGGCTGACAGGCAGCAAAGGGAAAACGTTTCTGGCTGGAGATGGGGCTTGGGTCTAAGTGGGAGGCTTATTTGACGGGTCAGAGCGTGCTGAGGACCTGAGGACCTGGACGAGGTGGGGGCAGCGAACAGGCTGGGCACGGTCCGAAAGCGTTTGCAGAAACGGCTGCGAAAGGGGCTTGCAGGCAAAACCAGCTTCAATGGGAAGAGCACAAATTGAATCACATTTAATAGAGGCCCGTGGGAGGAGACGTCTCCCTGGGAGGCGCACGGTGGCGAGAGCCGTAAATACAGCTTGTGCCTCCCCGAGCCACGGGAGCAGCGCGGGCGGTGTTTGTGCTTCGAAGGGAACGCACGGCTCCGTGTCTGCAGCCCCCGTGGGCTCGGGGGAGAGTCCTGTGCTGGCCGGGGTCCCTCAACGTCCTGCTGCACACTCAGGGAAAAGGGAAGGTAGCAGTCAGGTAGGAAATAGAGACCCTATCTGCACTGGCTGATAGATTTCTACTGATTTCTCTTTGTATCTGTCTAGAATAAACTGCCTGCTCCTGGAGCTGGATGGGCTGTTGGCACTTAACATCCCCTGGAACATTTTATGGGGCTGGTGGATTCAAATCCCCAACCCAAGCCCTTTCAACAACCTGTGCAAAAGTGGGCTGCAAACCAGAAACATCTTAATAATTCACGAAGCGGTGGAAAAATTGTGATCTTCGGCCCTTTTTCTCGTTGATAACCCCATGTTTCTGTCCACAACGATCCCTTGGGCTGCTAAAACCCACCGCAGCATGGCAAAGAGCCTTAGGGGAAGGGCAGTATGGGACAGAAGCCTCTGTCCCACCGGTATTTAGGAATTTGGGAGGTTTTGGGGTAGCTGAAGGCTTTGCAGAGCAGGATGCAGGCAAGCTGGGAGGCACCGTCCCCTCCCCTGCAGCCTGCCCCGGAGCTGTCATACCCCTTGGGGATACAGGTGGGTGATGTCCAGGACAGCACCCATGGGACCAGGCTGATGGTGGGGATGTGGCTGAGCCCCCTCACCCCACAGCTCAGTCTGGGAGCAGTCGATTCCCTCCTGCAAAGAGGAATTACCCTGGCAAACCGTCTGCAGCTCTGAAAGAAAAAAAAGGATCTCCAAGGATTAATTGAGAATTTTATTAGCAGGAGTTCATCACCTTTTTAAATAATGGAAGCGAAAGCCTTTTGTTCTTCTTTTTGGCAAACCTGGGGGCTGTTTGCAAGCTGGCTGGCTGTGCGGGAGGCAAGCAGATGGGATGTGTCCGGATGCGCACGTTCCTGTTATCGCCTCTAAGTGGGAACGATCTGCGAGCTGATGTGCAGTTTTTAAGTGCTGTCAGGTCGGGACTTTGAGGAGGGGGCACTTGGCTCCTCCACGGCGAGAAGCGGCTGGTTTTGAGATGTTTTGTTTGCAGCTGAACGGGGCCAGTTTCAAAGAGGTGGGGGCAACAGCAGCAATCTATCGGAAGCAGAGCCTATTTTTGAGCACAAATAAACAGCCGTGGGATTTATTCTTCTGTTCCATCCAAGCAGAGGAGTGAGACGCTGCTGTTTGTCTGACAGCTCCCAGCTGTAGCTGCCGGGAGCTCAGAGCTGGTGCCTCTGCCCGAGATCATTTCTGGCCGTGCCCTATTAGAAACAGCAAAACCTTTTTCTGTAGTCCTCCGCTAAGGCAAAAGCTTCTTGGCTACGCAGTGTCGTTGTTAGGTTTATTAAACAAGTGGATAGCATACTAATTTATCTCCCTTATTTTTAATGTTCATCATTAATATACGGCTCGTAAAATTTGGCTTGCACTGCTGCTTATCTCTTCCAGTTACGCCCTGGGCTCCCGAGCAAACGGGTTCATTGCAGCGAGGCACCCAGCCTGTCCAAACAGGCTGCAGATTGCTGGCAAATAAAAGCCAATATTGACTTATAAAATGGTACATCCCCTCTCCTGATCACATAGAGGAGAAGTTCACGGGTCCGGTCAGAGCTGTTGATAAATGCTGATTAGAAATCCTGCCCCTGCCTCTGCCACCGATCCGCAGGGCTCTGGCGGGGGCGAGCGGCTCTTAGCCGGGCAGCGAGCACCTCCAGAAGCAGGCGAGCACAGAGCAGCACGCCTGCCCGGCGCCCTGTCCCTTCGAGATGTGTCTGTCCTGGTAATCCAGTAACCAAATAATTAATTAACCCTCTGACGAGCCCATCTTGGCCACTAACTGTCGGTGCGTGGGAGCGACGTGATGCGTGAGTGTGGCCATGCCCCGGGGGGTGCGGAGCCATTTCAAAGGCGTGGTTTGATTCTTGCTTGGTTTGTTTCATTTCCTTCAAGGGGCCTGGCCACAAACTTTTCCCGATTGAACTCCAGAAATCGTCTCTGCCCTCTGTCCCCTTTTCCTTCCCAGCCCTTTCCCTGTGCCAGAGCCCAAGCAGAGACTTCCCAAATAGCTGGGGGCTTCCCGATTGTGGGTGAGGGAACAGCCAGGCTGCCACCAGCTCGTTTGGCTAACGAAGCTTTCGGGGCCAGCAGAAAAGGATTAGGTCTGCTCCCCAAGAGCCTGCCCCTACCTCAGGGTGGGCTTTCCCCCCCTATCTGCAGTGGTCCCGTGCCAAACCTGCCTGTCCTGCCCCATTTCCTAATCTCATAACTTCTGTCTCTGCTACTGCTGCTTTCAAACCCATCTCATCCTGTGTTGCCCCCACTGACCAAGTTTAATAATTCCAGTTATTAATGGAATTTATTCCGTTGATATATTTTTCTCTCTCTCACAAAGAGACCCCCACTGTGTGTGTCTGTAGGGTGTTGTCTTGTCTCTTCCCCTGGTTGTCTCCTGTTAAACTTTCCTGTCCAGTCCTCAAATTTGTCCTTCTGGTCTTCTGCCATCTCCCAGCTCCATTTCCAGACGGTTTGGTCCTTCCACCCAGCAGCTCCCAGTACCAGTGGGAAACTGGGGGTGCTGCCAGAGCCCCCGGCACTGCTGGGATCCGCCGTGGCGGGGACATCTCCATGGCAAAGCGGCTCAGCTGCCCGATACACCCTTTTTGTGCCCGTTTTTCATGGCTGTCCTCCACTGAGTGTTCTGTCCATCGGCATTTCCACCTCTCATCCGACTCCAGCCCAGTCTCTGTGCTGGAGGCAGGGGCGGGCAGGATGGGTGCTGCCCCACGGGGACCAGGCTGTCCTGGTGCACCATCCCCGCTCCCCCTGCCCATCCTCTCTTCCTTCTTTCACCTCTCTGTCTGCCCAGCATCCTCTCTACACCCAGTCTTTTTTCCTTTAGAAATGACTTTAAGCTCTTCTCTAGTTTCCAGGTATGTTTTGGGGTGAGGTCTGTGTGCCAGGCTTGGCCAGGAACTTGCCAGCTTCCCCAAAAAAGCGCCGTGCGTCGCTGGCCCTGTCTGAGCCCTCCTTATTGCTGCAAGAGAAGGAGAATTTAAAAGCACCCTGGTTTTGTTTTTTTGTTTTTCTTTCCTGCTGATTTCAGCCCGAGGGGTTACGGAAACGACGCCCAGCTTCATGTACCCGTACGGGACCTCGAGCAGCCAGATGGTGCTCAGGGGGGTGGACCTGCTGCTGGAGTGCATCGCTTCGGGAGTGTACGTACCGGGCACGGGAGCGGGCGGGCACCAGCTCCTCACCAGCTCAGGTCCAGTTTTAGGGGCTGTGGTAGGAAGGGGGGTGGCTCAGCAGTCCTCATCCCTGGGCTCGAGAGGTTCCACGTGCAGGATCACCTCCTGCTTTCTTAGGAAGGTTTTTCTTGTCTTGCAAGTGCGTTTATCTCCTTCCCTCTCCTTAGACCAGCACCAGACATCATGTGGTACAAGAAAGGAGGTGAGCTCCCCGCAGGCAAGACCAAGCTGGAGAACTTCAACAAGGCTCTTCGGATCTCCAACGTCTCGGAGGAAGACTCCGGGGAGTATTTCTGCTTGGCCTCCAACAAGATGGGCAGCATCCGCCACACGATCTCGGTGAGAGTGAAGGGTACGTCGCCTTTACCTTGCCATCTTCTTCCCTCTCACAGCCAGAAATTGAGGGGGGCAAGCGTGATTTTGGGGGCTTCCCACGTGGGCTGTGCTGCATCCAGCCCCACCAGCATCTCCTCCAACCCGCCCTATAGGCAGTGGGAGCCGTGGGCTCCGCTCTCCGGTTGCATTTGTTCGCAGCAGATGAAATGGTTTGGGTTGGAACCTCTGGGGACCATCTGGTCCGGTTTGCTACGTGTGTAACCGGTACGTTTGTGTGTTTTAAAGCTGCTCCGTACTGGCTGGACGAGCCCCAGAACCTCATTTTAGCCCCTGGTGAGGACGGCAGGCTGGTTTGCCGAGCCAACGGGAACCCCAAGCCCGCGATACAGTGGCTGGTGAACGGGGAGCCCATAGAAGGTGAGCCGGGGGGGGGGGGTCTGCACCTCCTCTGCAGAAACGGAGCCGAGCATGAGCCAGAGCTGCCGTCAGGGTGCCAGGCACCCATGGGGTGCTGCGCGGGGCGCAGGCATTGCAGCACACAAACCACCTGCTCGGCTGGGGCAGGGCCAGCTGAACCCCGTCTGGAGGCTGGGAACACCATGTGCCACCATCTCCTTTAATCTGGGCCGAGAGGGAAAGAGGCACGATAAAACACGGGGTCGTGTGAATTCTAATTTGAGATTGAATTTAACACGTCCTCTCTCTGCCTGTCCTCTTTGAAGCGTCTCCGCCCAACCCGAGCCGCGAGGTGGCTGGAGACACCATCGTGTTTCGAGACACCCAAATCGGCAGCAGTGCCGTGTACCAGTGCAACGCGTCCAACGAGCACGGCTACCTCCTGGCCAACGCCTTCGTCAGCGTCCTGGGTAGGTGCCCATGGGGACAGGGCAGCCCCGTGCAGCTGCTCCACACCTGGCTGGGGAAGGAAAACCCCAGAAGTGGCCGTCAGGACCCCGCAGGGTGCCAGGGCATGGAAGTGTCCCCTGCAGAACGGTGCCTCCTGCTTCTGTAAATAAGGAAGGCGAACACCCCACGCACAAGTTTGCCCTGCAGGTTTTCCCTGTTTGCTTTCCTCCTTCTTGTTAGCTGCTCTGAGATTAATGTACGCGTATACACGACCTCTGCAGCTGGGTTTGGGATTGAAAGTCCATTGCCATATACCTGCAAAGCCAGGCAAAGGGTGAGCCAAGTGCTGCTGGAGCTGAGACATGAGCTGTTGTGTGGGTGAAGCTGGAAAGGGAAAGAGAAACAGGAGCGAATGGAGCAGCTCTGTTGAGTCTTGAAAGCCTCAATAAGGAGCAGTGAACAAAAAAAGGAGATGGGTGGCAGGACCGGGAAGCGCAGGGGCTGGTTTGAGCTCTCGTTCGGTAGCTGGGTCTCTGGTGCTTGCAGATGTGCCACCACGGATCCTGGCTCCTCGCAACCAGCTGATCAAAGTCATCCAGTACAACAGGACCCGGCTGGACTGCCCCTTCTTCGGCTCCCCCATCCCCACCCTGCGCTGGTAAGCACGGCGGCGCTTCCCCTGCCGGCGGGGAGGGCTGGCACGGGGCGGTGTCCTGCTCTTTCTGCCCTTACAAGAGTTCTTTGTACGGCTGTGAGGTTTAAGAACGGCCAGGGGAACACGCTGGACGGAGGGAACTACAAGGCGCACGAGAACGGGAGCCTGGAGATGAACATGGCTCGGAAGGAGGACCAGGGCATCTACACCTGCGTCGCCACCAACATCCTGGGCAAAGCGGAGGCCCAGGTTCGCCTGGAAGTGAAAGGTGGGAGCTCAGGAGCAAAATGTGCTCTTGGATCCTCTGAAACTCACAGCAGAAATGAACGTTTATGTAAAGGGAGGGTTGATGGTGCGCTCCGGCAGTCTGCACTATGACATTTGGAGCTGGGATACAGAAATGGGCAGAGATCCCTTCTTTATGGGGAAAACAAGGCTATGGGTACACTGAAGCTGTAGAAGGGCTTGGTGTGGATATCAAGCTGCAGGATGCCATGAGCATTGCAAAATGAAACACCAAGAGTGCATCAAGAATAACCACTGGCAATAAAACGTTTTTGGAATCAGGTTTGGATTGGGTTTTCCCTGTTCAGCAAAGCTGTTTGCTGAGTCAGAAAAGTGGGTATTTGTTAAAGGGTCGGCATGAATTAATGGTTTGTTAAATGAGTTTATTTCCAAGCATTTGTAGCAGAGATGGTTTAGGAAGCTGACGTGCACGCTTGCCTTTTCCAAGAGACACCACAGTTAAGCTTTGACCGAGCTCCTGAGCTGAGACCCCGCAGCTCAGCCCCTGACAGCCCCTCTGGGACTTTTTGCAGACCCCACCAGGATTGTGCGAGGCCCCGAGGACCAGGTGGTGAAGAGGGGCTCCATGCCTCGCCTCCACTGCCGCGTCAAGCACGACCCCACGCTGAAGCTCACGGTCACCTGGCTGAAGGACGATGCGCCCCTCTACATTGGAAACAGGTTCGTGTTTACCATTCCTGCGTTGTCTCTCCAAAATCGCTGGGATTTTTACTCCCCCGCTGCAAAATGCTTCAGGAGTCACTGGGGATAATAAGGAGAAATGTTGAGTTCCCACCTAGGCAACATCTGCTGCTCTTGGTGCTTTCAATGTTCTTAGCTCCTTCCAACAGAGGCTGCCTAGCAGTTAAAATTGACTTGCCAGTAAAACGAGGCATTGAGCTGAGGTTTTATTTACAGATATTTTAGGACACCTTGATAAAATGTATGGGTTAATAACGAGCTACTCCAAAATGAATGTTTATCAGCTGTGAGAGGTACGGTTGTAATTTCCTTTCCATAGCCTGCTTCTCGTGGAATGAGATCTGCTCCCAGGACACAGGCTTCCTAAGGGTGTGATTCTCCCAGATGTATACCCAGAGCAGATTCACTGATTCCTTCGGAAATGAGGTTTCCAAGAATAACTCAATGCGTCCTTAGCTGATAAAATCTTGAGATTGGCGAAGTGCTCCCATTCTCTTTGGGCTGTTTTGTGTGGTTTATCAGAGAACAGTTAGGCTTCAGTCCTGCTGCTTAAAGCTCTTAGGAACTGTTGTATTATTGCTTTCAACCCTTTAAGGATGAAGAAAGAAGACGACGGTCTGACAATATATGGCGTGGCGGAAAAGGACCAAGGCGATTACACCTGCGTAGCCAGCACGGAGCTGGACAAGGATTCAGCTAAAGCCTACCTCACTGTCCTAGGTAAAGCTGTTGTGGCAGTGTGCTGACACACAGCTAGGTGCTGTGCTTGCCCTGCAATAGATTGACTTCAAGGTCGGGCTGAAAGGGGGATCTGTGGGCGCAGAGCTCGCCTCTAACGCAGGGGTGGTGCTCAGGGAGCTGCTGGCAGAGCAGTTGTTCCATTGCTGCAGGACTCAGCAAGGACACGCAGCCTGACCTCAGAGTCACTCAGACAATGCCACCGGATTTGAGCAGAAGGGAACTTGCATTTGAGAGAGGAAAAAAAAAAAAAAAAGTACTTATTATGTGCAGCTAAAAATATCCAGGTGGTAGTGGAAGCTCTGAGAGAGCAGCCCTACATTTGGGAGCGAACGTAACCGAGTCTGAGGGTGCTGAGAACCGTGTGACACCCAGCGGGTGAGTGAAGCAGCACAAGGAGCAACAAACTGAAACCCATTCCATACTCATTTATGACAGATCTTTTCCAAAAACCACCCAGATTTACCAGCTCCTGCTCTTGGCCCCCTCCACTCTTGTGCAGGGTCCCCATTCATCCCAGCGCCCCACCCCACCAGCACTACTGGCATAGACCCACTGTGCCCTACAGAGGCAGGAGTGATATAAATCCCATATCCCTAATAATTTGACTGGGCTTATTTCCCTTCCTCATCCCCTAATAGCTAATTAACTCTGTACCGGGCTGATGTTTCCCCTTCGCAGTGTATTAGAAATAGGAAGGAAGGCGTGCAGAGTGCTGGGGGTCTCTGGGGGCAGGACTTGCTTCCTCTGGTCCCCAGGGAGGTTTGGATCCCGCTGAAATCTGACCGTGTGTGTGACTTTATATTTACCAGGTGCTCCTTTCACCACCCAGGCTTAATGACTAAACTAACCCCGTTAACAACCAATGTCTTACCTTGCAGCAGTCCCTGCTAACCGCTTGAGAGACTTACCTAAAGGTAATCATCACTAATTCATTTGGTTTATTTTATTTTGTAAGCTGATTTTTTGTTTTGCCTTGTCAATAACTCCGGCAGAAATCTAGGCGTAGCGGTTGACCGAGCTGGGAGCTGATGCTTCCAAGTCCTGCCCAAGTTGTCCTTGAAGTCCCATCCAGATGGGCACGGGTAGGAAGGACGCATCCCTTCGTGTCCCCCAGTGCCGATTCTTGAGTGCACGAATCACCTTACCCCTAGCTGGAAATGGTGAGCCCTGAGGGTAGAGAAAAGAAATCACATTGAATTCCCTGACTTTTACCTGGAAAAGGTGTTGTTATTATTGCATGAGCTGGATCCACAGGAGTATGTGATTTGTGATAGGATAAAGACACCGCGATTGTGCCCAGGGCGTTTTCTAACCAAGTGTGTATTTTCAGTTAGGTTTGGTGTCCTTTCCACTCTGTTTGCAATTATTTTCGGAACGGTGGCACGTAGCTTGTTGTAAGATCATCTATCCCCTTGCTAAGCCACCTTTGTGCTTGCAGCACCAGACGATGTCAGTGCATGCGGGTTGGGTTTCAAGGTGAGGCGCAATTAGGATGTGAGCGCGTTTGTATTAAAAATAAATAAATAAATAAAAATGCACTGGCCTAATAAAAGCAGAAGGACATGAAGCGTGTCCTCCTGCGGGTCTGGGCTGGCATGGCCAGGGCTTCCCTGCCCCAAAGGAGGAATAGGACCGGGGGGCTCCCGGGACCACCCAGCCTCACCCATCTCCTTGCTGCGCCCGCAGAGCGCCCCGACCGGCCGCGGGACCTGGAGCTGACGGACCTGGCCGAGAGGAGCGTGAGGCTGACCTGGATTCCCGGCGATGACAACAACAGCCCCATCACAGGTCAGAGGCCGGGCTCTCCTGTCTCTTAGGAGAGGGGTGGATGGAGGGAGGTGTCCTCACGAGCCGCCCGGGGTGCCTCGCCACCGGGCTGAGCCCTCCGTCCTCCCCCCAGACTACATCGTGCAGTTCGAGGAGGATCGCTTCCAGCCCGGCACCTGGCACAACCACTCCAGGTACCCCGGCAGCGTCAACTCGGCCGTCCTGAGCCTCTCCCCGTACGTCAACTACCAGTTTCGGGTGATTGCCGTGAACGACGTGGGCAGCAGCCTGCCCAGCGTGCCCTCCGAGCGATACCAGACCAACGGGGCGCGTGAGTACCGTTCCCAGCAGCTGGCCACCAGCATCCCCGGTGTGCTGGAGATGGTTTATGGTGATTTGGGCAACGCCAGACTTATCCCTTGTGGGGTGGGAACCCAGCTCCTCGAACACGAAGGGCTCACACAGGGAATGAGCTGCGCCATGCAGTCATGTGCCGGGCTGTGATTTTTTTTAAACCACATCCCCGAGGCTCTGAGCGGTGCTGTGCAGAGCAGCAGAGCCTGGACGGAAAAAATCCTGCAGTGGTTGTTCTGGGAGAAGCTGTTGAAGGCAGGCCATTTGTCAAGAAAGCTTTCTAAAGAAAATCTTTCATCCTTTCTGGCCACAGGAAGCTCAGAAGTCGCTTGGAAAATTAGACTTCCAAGTGTAAAGTGGCCCCAAGCAGAAGAGATTTTGTTCCAAAACTGCTAATTCATTGTCCACTGCTAGAGCTGGGCAGGGGCCCAGATCGATGCTGGAGTAAAGTGTCCTCCAGTCCACAACGAGACTCGGCTCTGCAGTGTGTGCCCAGTGCCCTGTGCGCTGTAGAAAACTTGGGAGAAGTCAGGGGGGGAATTGACGGGAAGCTCAGGAGTTTTGCTGCATTTCTTGGCCATTGCAGAAACGCTTCTGCAACATCTACTGGCACCTAGTGTTGGGCTGTGACATCGCTCTGCTTGCTTCTGATTTCAAAAGTGTCAGGCTCGGCACCCGGGGATGCTTCATAATGGTGTCTTTTAAAGATTTAGGATGACATTTTTTGGGAAAAAAAAAAAAAAAAGGCTCCTAAATAAATGGCCTGGTTTTCAGGAGTGTGGAGAATCTCATGTTCCATTAACCTGAATGGGAAGTTAAAACTTCTCGAAAAAGCAGGCCATTAGCTGCTGGTCCAGAAGTGGTTTGCGCTTGCGCAGCAACGGGGTTTTAACCACACAAATGATCATTTTTCAGCATTATAAACTGCTTTTTTTTTTCTTTTTTTTTTTTTTTTTTTCTTTTTCTCCCTATTGCGAATATCAGGACCTGAAATTAACCCAACAGGAGTTCAGGGAGCAGGGACCCAAAAAAACAACATGGAGATAACCTGGACGGTGAGTTTGCCTTTGACAGCAATCCAGAGGCAGGGGACTCAGGATTTGAATCCTCAAATGCAGGGGACTCAGGGTTCCTAGCACATGCAATGTACCGCACAGAATCCCCTAACCCCGATGATCATAAAAGAAATAAAAAGCCGAAGATACACCTATGAGAGAGGCTATTGCTAGTGCCTGCAAGAAGACTTGTGATGAAAAAATAATTTGCAACAATGGAAGACAAAGGAAAGATGAGGGACCACAGATAGAGGCTGGGGAGGATGCTCCGGAGCCTGATATACACAGCAGCTCCTGCTGTTCTCCATCGACCAGCAGGTGTCATCCAGGAACAAGCCAAAGTGTGCAGGGAGGCTAGGAATTGCCAGGGGAGCATGGGCTGGGAAATAAGGCGTGGGGGTATGGTTTGGGGTTCTGCCTAGGGTCTGCAGGGCAGGGAGTAGGTACGACCCTTTTGGGAGCAGAAGTACAGACCCTCCTTGAGGCTTGCTGCTGGAGCATGAACCAAGAACCAGCTGCTGAGCAGAACCTCTTGGAGCCCCATAGCAGAGAAATGCGGCTGCTTTTTCCCCCCCCTCACTTTCTGTTTTGCTCCATTAAGCCCCTGAACGCAACGCAGGCGTACGGGCCCAACCTCAGGTACATCGTGAGATGGAGGCGCAGGGACCCGCGCGGGAGCTGGTACAACGAGACGGTGAAGACCCCGAGGCACGTGGTCTGGAACACCCCCATCTACGTCCCCTACGAGATCAAAGTGCAGGCAGAGAACGACTTCGGCAGAGCACCAGAGCCTGACACCGTCATCGGCTACTCGGGGGAAGATTGTGAGTATTTTCTCAGCCGCAGCCCGTAAGTGCTTCCTGAGGGCAGGAGCCCATCCAAGGGCAGGGGTGGGCACCCACGCCCCAGCTACATTCACAGCGCTGCTTGATTTGGTACAAAAATCCAGTTCCAAGCATTTGGAGAAAGAGGTTTGGGTCTGTTCTGGGCTGTCTGCAGGTACCTGCAGGACCCAAACCACTCAGCCTCTCCTTCTGTAAAAAACAGATAACACCTCCAGTCTAGAAGGTGGTAAAATTTCCTTAAGAACAACTCTGGCTGTCATCCAATGACCTGCATTAAATTTCTTGTCCCTGATATCCGCACAGCACCAAGTCCATCTTGGATGAGAGGTGCTACCACTGGCGGAGACGGTGTTGGTTCATCCCGGACTGGCTTTTTGTGCCTCTGATACAGCCCCAGCTAAGCCACGGCTTGGGCTCCTGTTTGCAGCACACCACTGGCTCAGCTCATCTTCCTTTAAACCTCTCTACCTGGTCGTGCACAGCAGTGGCCAGCTTGTTTAACCTTTTCCCTTTCTTTTTGGTCTGCTGGTGTCACCTTCTGCCTGTAGCATCCAGCACTCCGACCTATGATCCTTATCCTGCCAGGAACATGTGGTTTGCTGCCAAAACTTTATCTTTAAAGAGATATAAATGAGCTCCTCTCAGTGCCACAGATCAGTGGAGTCCCTGGCCAAACGACTCAGGGAGTACCAAAAAGTAAGGCAGATAAGCCAGAAAGCCACCCGTGACTTGAAGTCAAGGGGATGCAAGAAGAGTGCAGCACTTACAAGAAACTCTGTGTTCGTGGTGCTGAGATAGCACCCAGCACATCCTCACACTGGGCATCTCCTAGAGGAGATGGGGAAGTGGAAGGATGGGAAGAAAAGGTGGGAGACAGGGCAGGAGCCTGGGGTGAGTGCTTGGGGCACTCAGCGGTGCCCAGCTGAGAGCTCGCTGCTGGAGAAGCTCCACCATGACCTGACTGCACGGCTGTCCCTGTGCTTTCCAAGGTGTTTTTGGGGAGGTTTCAGATGAAACCTCATGCAATGGCCTTGAGGAAGACCTGTAAGAGCCTGTACTTGTGTGCTTTATGTAGAGGCAAACCAGGGAGAGCAAACTCGCGTCTCCCACCCCAGAAGGTCACAGGTGTGCTCCTGCCCATGTCCCAAAGGGTGGGACATGTAGGAAAAAAAAAACAGCAGAAGTAGCTCTATCGTGTCTGAATTGCTTCACAAGTAATGGCAGATTTCTACGTGCAGGCAGGTGATCTGAAAAGGAGGTTAAAAGAAAAAAAAAACAAACAAACTAATGTCAGATAAAAGTGAGGGGATGGAGGTGAGTGGTGGTGTGCTGCGGGCATGTGTGGTCATGGGGCTGTGCAACCTAAAGGAGGGCAGCCCAGAGTTGGCCTGCCCCTGCTGCTGTAGGAAATCCTCCAAACCAATTTTAAGGAGGGAGAAAACAGCCACATCTCCCAGTGATGAAATGCCTGGAGCAGATGAGGGGTGCCAGCAGATGGCAGAGGCGGCGTGCGCAGCCGCTCGCCCGGGTTGGCAGTGGGGCGCACCGTGTGCTGACCGCACTCTGCTTTGTCCCCGACCGCCCAGATCCCAAGGCTGCGCCTACGGATGTTAGGATAAGAGTTTTAAACAGCACTGCCATTGCCCTGACGTGGACCCGCGTGCACCTGGACACCATCCAGGGACAGCTTAAGGAGTACAGAGTGAGCAAAAGCAAATCTCTCCGGCGCGGGCTATTAACACGGCTAACCTGCTCGCCGGCACAGGTGGCCCCGTTGGTGGAGCCGTCTGTGGTGGGGATGACAGAAAACTTTTCTCTGGCCACCCTGACCCTTTTTGGGGTGCAGAGCAGGGGCTGAGCCCCCTCTGGGGCAGCACCAGGGATGAAGAGCCTTGGGGTGCTCTGTGCAGGGTCTGGGTGGGCTGGGGACATCTTCCTTGGCTCCCCAGGACCTTGGGGTGCCTTTGAGCACCAAGGGACCTGCCCTTGGTGGCTCTGCCCGTGCAGAGAGGCATCCCCTGGCCCTACAGCTGCTCAGAAGTGCAGACTGGCTGGCTCTGGGGGGAAACAACCTTGGAGAGGTGCAAACAGGCTGGATTTTGTGTCATCCCCAAAGTCCCTACATCACCTTCTAACAGACGCCAAGCCCTGCAAAGTCTAAACCCAGTCCTGTGCACTAACTGGCAACTAAAGGCAGCGTGGATCCTGGTTTGTTACTTCTAATGTTGAGATTTACTGATCCTGTTTTTTTACTCGTAATGTTGAGATTTACTGATCCTGGTTTTTTACTTTTAATGTTGAGATTTTCTGCTAAGGTAAAAGCTAAAGGATAGACCCTGTTCGAAACAAGCAAAAGTCTGGACTGAGCCCTTCGAGCAGGGTTTATGACTCCACCAAAGGCGTGTGTCCCGCAGGCAGTTATAACATTTCAAATCCAATCATTCACAGAGCGTAAAGGAAGCTCTCCGGGTGCCGCTTTCATTTTTTTCTGCCTCTGCTGTGTTATCCTGGTTGATTTTCCGAATGAATCTTATTTCTGCATGAAATAAGATTTACAGTCGGGGCTCCGCGTTGGAGGCTCTCCGAGTTCAGACTTTCCATTGTGGCCGGACGTGTCGCACCTCGCCTAACCCACAGCCACTAATCCGGGCAGGAAGGGGGAGCACTGGGTGCCCAGCACTGAGAGCTGGATGCCAGGGGCAGCTCTTTGCAATTTGAGCTCTGCTGGGTTCACCTTGCGCCCCTTACCAAGCTCCTACCCCTGTGCCTCAGCCTCCTCCTCGGGTACCCGCCCGGGGGGCGAGGAGCTTCTTTAATCACTCTAAAAGGCTTCTCATTGAAAAGGCAAAGTTTTGCTGTGCTTTGTTAATGAAAAAAAGAACTTAAAACAGGAAAAGCTTCACTTGCCATGCATGTTTCTTGAAGGCCTATTTCTGGAGAGACAGTAGTTTGCTGAAGAACCTGTGGGTCTCCAAAAAACGGCAGTATGTGAGTTTTCCTGGAGACCGAAACCGGGGCATAGTGTCCCGGCTGTTTCCTTACAGCAACTACAAGCTTGAGATGGTTGTAACCAACGGCAGAGGAGATGGGCCTCGCAGCGAAATTAAGGAGTTCCCCACCCCAGAAGGAGGTACGTCCTCGCCAGGGCTCCCGGCACCTCGTGCAGGGGCTGGGACGGCTTCGGGAAGCTCAGCCCAGCTCCGCAGGGTTGGCCAGGAGCTGTGTGGAGCCGTGATGCTGCTGGGGAGAGGCTCCAGGGATGGATTTGAGCTGCAGGTGGATGGCAGCAGCCGGACAGAGGCACTGTCACAGGGCACTGCTCCGTGCCCTTGTCCCCGTGGGGCAGGTGACATCCCTGCCACTACCCCTGGAGCCAACTCCCGGCACCGTCTCATTGATCGTCCCCCACTTCGGGTACTTTTAGCACACCTGGGACCAGGCTGAATGAGAGAAGGGCTTGCAGAGGTCCTGCAGAGGCACAGCACTGTGCCCTTGGATGGCTGCGTCACCTCCAAGTGTCCCTGCAGTTCTGCAAAACGGGGGCGGAGGAGTTCCTCTTGCTCGGTAAAAGGTGGAGAAATCTTTGCAAGACCTCTGTGCTTTTGTTCTGGGGGGCCGTCCCTCGTGCTCCTATCAGGCTTTTAAGGCAGGAGCACCTCCTCCTCCTGTTTGAAGAGCCTGTGTCAAGGATGAATTTGAGATTTTAATTTTCTTGCTGTCACAGGAGCTATTTATAGACACGCCAATAACTTTTTGTCGGAGCTGCACTTTCCGTGCCTGCCACTGAATCTTTCTTTAGCACAGATGTTTTTGGCACAGCGCGGTACAGAAATGCAGCGGGAGGAAACAGGAGAGGCTGGAAGCAAATCCTCTCACCTAACACAAACACCACGGGGTCGTCTTTCTCTTCCTCCTCTTCCTGATGCCCCAGCACAGCATCTCTCTCAGCTCTTTTTCTTTCTTCCGTAACATTTTCCTGGATGCTCTGTCACCAGTTTTGGGTGACTTTCCTTGACCAGCTACAATTCAGCTTGTTAAAAAGCAAGGACTCTTTTCCAGCCCAGCAGTTTGGTGAGCGGGTGCATCTTGGTTTAGCTCCTTTCCTGCATGCTGGAGGCGTGTGGCACCGTGGGGTGGCACTGAACAATCACAGCAGGTTATACTCTGGTCATGCGTAAACTCTTGATTTTCTTTTTCCTACACCACTAAGCTGTTTTATTGGCTCTATACTGATGCTTAGGGGATTGATATCCTGTGAAATTTGCATTAAAAAATAATCACTGATGTCTTAGATCAGTAAGCCAAGTTCTTTCCCCAGCTAGACGCTGCAATTAGGGGTAAACCAGGAGAATCCTTTAATTCCAGAAGGTGTAATGCTTCCCTGCCTTTACCAGCTTTGAATAAGCAGCCATAAAAGCAGACGTTCCTCGGGGTAAGGACCACTGTATACACCAGATCCCTGTTGCAGGTCCCCAGACATTGCTAACACACAGACGCCCTGCAGTAAGAGAAGTTTTTGTACCATTCCAGCAGAGAAATAGAGGGGAGGTAAACGCGGTGCATGCAGAGCTGCTCGGGTCCCTGCACACGCTGCTGAGCCCCCTGGCTGGTGCATGGTTCCTGGCACAGGTTCTTGTTCAGTGGGTATCTGATCTTTGGCGCGCGTGTTTCTGAGTGTCTTGGGTGTTATCAGTCAGCCTGCGATGTGTACGGTGTTGTAAGGTATGTTATCTTGTGTTTTTTTTTCTTCTTTCCCTCTCCTCCCCGGTCCCATCCCCCTCCCAAGTGCCCAGCTCCCCCAGGTATTTAAGAATCCGACAGCCAAACCTGGAAAGCATCAATCTGGAGTGGGATCACCCAGAGCATCCCAATGGAGTCCTCACAGGATACAACCTTAGATATCAAGCCTGTACGTGCCACATCTTATCTTCCTAGTGATAACAGCTAAGTCATTCCGTGTTTTCCTTGCTGCTGAGTTACCTCCGTGCCTAACACAGAAAGCTCTCCGTAAGGAGATTTCCATCACCAAACCACACCGCTGGTGTTGGAGGGGGTCCTGGAGCCGTGCTGGGCATCTGCAGCTTGCAGCTGGCCCCAAAGGGCTGGGGGTGCTCAGCAGTTCTCAAGCCAGGCACAGGAGGAGGGAAATCAGTCTGGCCTCAGGTTTAGAAAGCCCTTTAAGCACCGTCCGAGTGTTTTGTGCTCACTCAAACCAAGCTCCTGGCTCCGTAAGCGGTGCTGCCCGGAGCGCAGCGCGCTCTGCGCGATGCTGGGGGGAGGACAACTTTCTGTCTGAGACCTTGGCACTCGTGCTAGGGCTTTCCTTGGCCGTGCACACCACCAAGTGTCACCAGCAGCAGGTCCACCAGCCAGTAAGCCACCCGCTGCCCTAGGCAAGGCGTACCCAACACCAGATCCAGCTCTCGGAGCCCTAGTGGCCCCGGGCTGCCCCCAGGTCCTGCCCTGGGGCCAGGTGACGTAGCACAGCGTACCTCCGAACCCAAGCTGAAGCCACCACCGCCTGCCTTTCCTCCCCAGTTAACGGATCCAAAACGGGCAGGACCCTGGTAGAGAACTTCTCTCCCAATCAGACAAGGTTCACCCTGCAGAGGACGGACCCCATCTCGCGCTACCGATTCTTCCTGCGCGCACGGACCCAGGTGGGGGACGGAGAAACCATCGTGGAGGAGTCGCCAGCCCTGCTGAACGAAGGTATGTGCAGAGCCCCAGCTGCTGGCCTCGCTGCGGGGCTGGGGGGGCGATGTGCACGTGTCAGCCAAAATCTGAAGGTCGGGGAATTTGGAGGTCCCCAGAGCGAGCGGTGCGAGATAACGATGGGTGCGCATCTGCTACCTGCTGCGGAGATGAGCAGACGACTGGCCTTGTGCACTCTTGCTAAATCACCCCAAATTTGTCCCATAAAAGCTTTGCAGATGCAGTAGGGACAGCCAGGCACCACCTCTGCAGCCTCGGTAAGAGCTGGCCACGGGGCAGATGATTTCTGGGGCACTGGCAGGAGGTGCTGCAGCTGCATCCTCCAGGCTGCCCCATCACCCCACAGCCAGCAGCTGACCTGACCCAAAGCAGAGCCCCAGCTCCCTAACGAGATAAAATGCCCGTTGTGAGGCATTCATCAAACTAAGTGAAAGTTCAGGAGCCCTGAGGGAACTCGGGGAGACAAAAGCTGGCTCTTTCCTTTCTTCAGCATTTGCTAAAAGACCTATGATTTAGTTAGCACTATGATTTAATGGGGTTTTTGTCTCCTTTCCTCCATCTCCCCCTCCCCAACTAATGGCTCTGAGTAGGAAAAGTAATTCCTACTGATGGCCCAGAGGAAATGAAATGCTTCCTGGCATGTCTTAGGTGGGTTCCAGCAGCGCTAATTGCTGCGACGGGATCCGAGATGGGGCTGCACAAAGACACCAGCAGCCAGGTTGCACCTCGGCAAACACGGGAGGGGGAACGTCAGTGCTAAAAAAAAAAGGGGCTTTGCTGAACGAACTGCTCGGAGCACAGGGATGGGGCTGAAGCCATCAGTGCCGACAGCAGCTCTGGTTATCCCACATGTGTTTTTACTGGGTTTGCTTTTACATGCGGGTAACGGTGCCTGTTAGGGCACTGCTGACAAACAGCCATGAGCACCAGCTCTTGTCTAGTGCTTAACTGGTTTGTGTCAGCAAACAGCAGCTGAGGACAACATCCACGTGCCAAGGTAAGGGGCTCTGCCCGCCAGGCTCTGCAGCGGCCCCAGGAGCTGCTGGGGCTCAGCAGAAGGACAAGGAGCCGGCATTGATTCCGAGAAAAACGTTGAAATGTCAAATCCCCAAGCAAAGTTACAGAAATACAGCATTTGACCTCAAAACGTGCAGCCCTGAGGTACAACGCAGCATAGGCGAGTGGTGTCAGTGCCAGGCATACAAGCACAATTAGCAGCTCTAAATGAGTTTGATACGGAGGAACCCGCTGCAAAGCTGCACGAAAGGGAAATCTGGAACTGAAAAAAAAAAAAAGGAGATTAAGAAAATTTATCCCATTAACATCCAGGGGTTATTTTCTGCTTGCCAGGCTCATTCACCTGAGCAGTCTGAATAAAACCCAGCTCTCTGCTGCCCTGTGCCAAGGGCTCACACCCACACAACGCAGGCTAAGACCTGATGTCAGAGTCCCACCAGGAAACCGAAGGCAAAATTCGGTGTCAAAACCAGTCCTTGCTGGGATTAGGTGTAAGCACCTGCTTCAGTGCTTTGCTTAATCAACACCGCTGGCATCTCTGCAGCTGAGCCCGTGTGTGGTCAACCTCCAGCTCCAAGGGCTCGTCCCTGCTCTCTGTCCCGTGCAAGCAGGAGGGCGATGGGTTGGAGCTAATGCATTTATTTCCTCTCTCTCTCGAATCTCTGGTGACTGTGTGCAAGTGGTCCCCAGTCTCCCGTTGGTGTGTGCTGGTTGTTTTATGTATTCCTTTGTTTTCTCTTCCCTTCTCTTCTATGCTGTCCTCGTATTCCCCTCTCTATCCTTGGCACTGCACCCTGAAGCCACGCCAACCCCAGGTACCGTACCAGCGGAGGAGGTAACAGGCATGGGGCAAGGCTCACTCCACGCTCGCTCGCGTGTGCTGGCAATTAAGCATGCACTCCGTTAACCCTTTCAATGGGAAGGTGAAGCACCAGGGGCCTGAATTGGGCACGTGGAAGGAGTGCAGGTGAAATGGGGACCAGCAGCAGGCTCCCGGGCTGGGTCTGCAGGGATCAAAATATCTCCGAGCAGCCTTAACAGCCTCCGAGATGCCTAATGATGGCCAAACAGCGCAGCTGCCACGGGCTGTGCAAGCAGAAATGAGAGTCAAGTTGCACTGTTAATGAGGATTTTCGCTCCAGGTCTGCACCAGCCCTCTCCCTTTGTAAGCCTCGGCATCGCTGCCCTGTGCAACACCCCAAAACCTTTCCAAACCTCTCCCTTTTAGGGCTGCCAGGGCTCTAACGCAGGACAATCCTTTTGCTTCCAAGCCCATTGAAAGGGTTAAGGACAACGTTTGTGCCCCAGCTGTGCATGTCTGCATGCGAGGCTATTGCTGGCTTTGCCCTCTATATTGCACATTTCTCCAGCAGCATCGAAGCACACAGAAACCTCCTCGTGACAGCGGGGGGCAGGGTACCCACCTGCTTCAAGGAAACCTGAATCCCCAATTAATCCCGCGTCCAATTATCCAGGTCAACAGTGCAAAGCCTTAGCATAACTCGGTGCCCAGAGGACGCCCACCTCTTCCAAGAGCTGCAGCCACGACTTTTCCCCCCCCCGATGCGGCGTTCCCACAGGGGTTACAGCCCTGTAACCCGGTGCTCGAGGGGCAGCGGCAGCACTAGGGGATGTGTCCACCCACAGCACGCCCCTAGTGCTGCAGAAAAGCTTTTGGTCTCTCTTTTTGGACCCTCTGCCCTGCACTGAGGGTGCTGGAAGAGGTCGTGCTTTGCCCTTGCTGGCTGCAGCCCCAGGGCTGGAGCGCTGCCGAAGCGCAGGACCCGCTCTGCGCACCTCTAGGTTGTGCTTCCCTATCTCCTAGGCGTTTCTCCTCCTTTTATTTTGTTGCCGTGACGTCTCTACTCAACATTATTTTGCTTTTTATTTTCCCTTTCTGAAGAGCTGCCAATCTTCTCCTTACTGTGTTTCTCTTCCTTAAACTACAAACGTTAGGGGGTAACAGATTGGTCTGCTTCGGCTGTCGGGAAACCGAAAACAAGCGAAACCTTTGGGAACCCCTGAGGGCTGGTTTGCTGCTGCAGCCGTACCTCAGCCAGGGTTTATCCCACCCACAAGAATCCAGATTTTCTTTGTGGATCGGGATCAGCTTCTGAAGTCGATTTCTGCTTTCAGCAGGTATTGCTGAACTTTGAAAGCGCGGCGCGATCTCTTTATCCATCCAGCATCGTATCGATTCAGGAATAATTTCTTAAGCTCCTGGAAGCTAGATGGACGAGTTGCCGTTCAAAGGATACATTCATTAAATTCTGTAAGAATAGGGGCTGTTCCTCTATTTTTTCCTTCTGCTAGGAGAAATGGCAAAGAGCAAAGACACACAAAGACACTGGAAGGAGGCTGGAGAGCAGTAAGCGGAGCAGCAGGTCTTTAAGCACTAACTCTCAGCATTCAGAGCCTTCTGGCTGCGATACGCTTCTTCGGGAGGAATCGAGGCAGTGTAAGCTGTAGCAAGACACAGAACAAATCCTCATCCTGATATCGAGCCCAGTGTCGCATCGTGTTAGGGCACGTCCTGGCAAGGCAGCGCGGGCAGGTTGCGGGCGCTGCTTCCGCGGCTGAAGCGGTGTTGGTCCTGGGAGGCTGCTCCTCTTCCAAACACGTAGGGGTTTCGAGCGAAATGCCGTTTGACCTTTCTCTAAAGATTCATCTCCGCTCAGTGACCTAGATTTTGTAGATTTTACAGATTCACAGTGAAAGTTGTTCTTAAACTGCAGTAAAGCGCTATTTGCCATCGGCTGTTGGAACTGAAAAATGGCCTTTTTTTTTTTTTTTTTTCCAGGGGAAACCTTACATACGTGGGGTCGTAGCTGTTCTGTAGGCATGTGAGAAACTGGAGCAACTTGATGAAATCAAAGTGAAGGGCAGAGGCTTCACCTTAGGAAGCCTTTACATTTCCTAAGCCAGAGCTGGATGGAGGGAGAGGTGCTTTGGGGAACAGGTGCCGTGCAAAGGGCTCTCGTCTGCACAACGAATGAAACAAACAAAAACTGGATCCCAAACTACCCTTGTGCATGTCCTTTTGTCAGGGTCGTAAACAGCATTGGTCTTGGACTTTGAAAACATTGATTTGTTTGTTCCCTTCTTGTCGCTCCATAGCTAGGAAGCGGAGGAGAAAGGCTCAATTGTTCATTTTGGAAATGGGCGGCAGCAGCGATACAGAGAACTGCTGACCCCTCTCTTTTAGATGCCATTCAATCGCTTCTTTCTGGTCTCAAATTTCTTATAGCTGTCAGATTTGGAGCAGTTTTTTTCTTTCTGATAAAGACTTCAACAATCTCCTTCTGTTGCTAGAAACCGTGAGAGGGAGATGGGAAAAAAAAAAAAAAGTCCAAAAATGTATTTGGCTAATCATCTAAATTCATGAAAAATTAATCAAATTTCTCCAAGCCTAATTATTTTGTAGACACACCCAAGGGAAAGCTGTAACTGCAGCCTAACAACACATTAAAAGCATCTTTAAATAATTAACGAGCAGTATGGCTGTGCATTGGTTTTTGTATTTTGCAAAAACACGCGACTGCTCGGTGATACCCCACACCACTTGGAGCAGGGCTCGAGCCCGTCTCGGAGCAGGCTCCCTCCCTCTCCCATGCCTCGAATTTTTGCTTTTACGATTCTTATCCGCAGATTTCTTCACTCTGAGCATCCCCCAGTTTTTGCACAGGGCTCGGGCTCCTTTTTACCAGCCCATTCCCAACCCGAGGAGCCAGGGCGCAGCAAAGAGAAGGAGCCTCTCGAGCAGCCCTCCTGCTGCAAGCATCTCCCTCATTACTTAGCCTATTAATTGCTACAGCCAGACTGCTGCAGCCCCTGCCCATTACGAGAGCGTCTCCTCCCCACCGTGCCCCTCGGTCTCCTCCACCAGAGAGGCTAATGTATCTTGCAGACAGAAAAAGCAATCTGTGCCTTGCAAAGCCAGGGCCGATTTATGAGCTAAGCGGCGGTTTGCGTGTTCCAGGAAGAGGGGCTCAGCTGTTGTGGGAGCCAGAGAATGAACATTGCTACTGCTGGCTTTTTCTCTGGCTTTTCTGGGCACGCTGGGGCTGTTTGAAGCCTCCTTCCTTGGATGCTCCAGTTTTCAGGGTGCTGCTCTGCCCTGCAGTTTGAAAAGCGGCCGCCCCTTGTCTGCAGCACCTTCAGGTATCAGGGAGGTTTTCTTCCCCCAGCCCTCGGGTGAAGGCTGGGTGCGTGGTCCTGCATCCGCACACGAGGCAAACGCTGCCAAAGTCCCCGAGTGAACCCGCGAGGGGGGAATGCAGGGAGATAAATCCAGCAGCAATGCACAGCCAGGGAGGTGTCAGAGCTGCGTTTTTAGGAGGAGGCGCGTGGTTTCGGGATGATCTTGTAAAACCGAGCACTTGGTTTGAGCAGATCTGGAGCTGCCAGCCAGGAGCATCCTTAATGAGCCCTGCCCTGGTTGCAGTGCTGGGGCCCCTGCCCCTCGCTGTCTGGGGAGAGCTCTGATCTTCTGTCGGAGACCGGCTTTGCCTTCCCCCAGACCGAACTCGGCTCTCATTAGGGGATGGATTTCAAAGGCCGGTAAATGCCCCTTATCTTCTCTCCCCCAAATCTACCAGCTGAGCTTTTTCTTTCGCATACATTTTGTATTCAAACACAAATGAGGCTGCAGCTGTGGTTCCCGGGGCAGATGAGGACCAAATCCCCCAGCCCAGCGGGAGCCCCGCTGCCCGGGCTGGCCTCATCCTGCCCGGTGCTGCCCGCAGGCAGGCTCTCCTCCTGCCCCTCGCTGACCTCTTGCTTTCTGGAGCCAAAGCTCCCACCTTGTACCCGTTCCTAGTCCTGCCAGGCTCCTTCCTATCCCGGTGCCGACGCACGCAGCCGATCTCATGGGGGTGAGATGGGGGTGAGCCCGCGTTACCCTGATGTGCTGCGATTGCCCTGCTTGTGGGGAGCCTTTCCAGGAGAGCTCATGCTCTGCTGGAGCAGCGTGGGCAAATCCCTCCTGGCACCACCATCAGCCAGGATTGAGGTGCCCGGATCAGGCAACCACAGGGGGGCTGCTGGCACCGTGGCACCCAGGAGAGCTCCGTGCAGCGGGATACATCCCGCAGGCAGCGTGGCTCTGCGCATAAGGCAGGGTGATGCCCCCCTCTATGAGGGATATTTTACCCCAGATCATCTCTGCCCGTCTAGGGGTGCATTAAGAAGGGCTCTCGCCTTCTGCTAAAGCCTTTGCAGCAGCACCAGGCGATGCCCACAGCCTGCTGGGGTGCTGCACGGGAGCAGCATGGCACAGTGACGTGCACCAGGGCTGGGAGCTGGGCGTTGGAGCAGCTCTTCCTGCAGCTCCTGCCCTTCAGCAAGGTGCTCGGTGCCTCGGTGGGTCGTCTTCTCCTTTGCTGTGAATCGAGGATTCACAGAGGAGATGCATCAGCTAGGAAGGAGTCTCCACTGTGCAGGGTTGTTGTGGGCATTGCAAGCCCAAGTAGAGGACTTGCAGCACGATCACATTCACAGTAGCCCCACTAATCACTTAACCTCCCGAAAAATGCCATGAATCAGCAGACTGAAGCCTCAGGACACAGAAAAGCGAAGGCTTGGTAAAAACTGGGTGAGCGAAAGCAATGCACAACAGCACCCCCCTATCCTCCCCCCACTGCCACGGCTCAGCCAGGTCAGGGCCGGCTTTGTGACACCACGTGCACCCCCGGGGACAAAGTCGTGCAATTCTCCCACCCCCCCCAGCCTGGCTCCCATCACCGTCGCTGCCGTCTGTCGCGGGCTGGCTCCGTCGCACGAGGCCGGGGTGGGAGGGAGGCGGCTGCTCCATCCTGCTGCTGCTCCATCGGGCGCTGTGCTGCTGCATGAGGCTCTGCGAGGCGCCGTCGGTCGGTCCCTGTGGTGGCGAGGTGCCGGGCACGCCACGGGGTCGTGCTGGCCATGCCTTGGGGACGTGCTGGTAACCGTGGTTTTATTGCAGCTGCGCGCGGTAGGGAGCTGGACGGCCTCACCTGCTGCTCTCCTCTGCCCTGGGACTGCTGGAAGGGCTCGGATTTGGTGGGAGCCACCCTGGGGCCTTAGCTCTGGCCTTTCCGAATGGTCTCTGGTGTGTTGGTAGCCTTGAAGGGATGCTCGCTCCCGTGCAAGCTGAGCTGGGACTGGCTTGGTGATAAAGCAGGGCATGGCTTTGCTCTGGGACACTTTTTAAAACACTTTCCCGGAGCTATTCTTGTTTGGGTGATATTTGCAATAGCCATTTTCATTTGCCTGATGGGGCTTTGTAATCCCTTGATCTACAGAAGAGTAAGTAAATACAATTTAATGCGAGCACCACAGGATTTCATTTACCTTCGGCAGTTTAAGCAGCTCTCCAGATGCATTTTCTGCTGGCAGCTTTTCAGGCAGTAGGGCAAACAGTTTTTACAGAGCGCTGCCCTTTCATACCTGAGGGCATTCAGCAATAGTTTCCAATGCCCCAGCCACGAGGCCGGTGCTGCTGCTAGCTCCTGTTTCCCATTCGTGACAGCCAGCTACAGCCCCAAGCACTCTGCTCACAGCAACGATTGCAGTCCTGAGCCAAGCCAAAGCCAAAAGGCAGATCGGGCTCCTTATTGCCTCCTCCAGCCAGCCCAAGCCCTGCACCCTCCTTTGGTGGCGCTCAGGACCCTGTGCAACCACACCAAGAGGTGTGTGCAATGTGCACCCCTACCCTTTGGCTCACCCATGTGGGTGGAGGCAAACAAGGGCTGTTAAGAAACCAAATTGTGCAGAAATTTTCTCTAGAAAGCTTAGGGTGTGCCAACCCCTCTGTCCTAATTTAAACGTGAATGGCGAGGGGCGGTGATGGCACGGTAGCATCCAGCACCCACCAAAGAGCTAAGACCCCGACAGGGCTAAGGCTGCTTCATCACCCGGCTGCAGGATCAGCACAGAGATCAGCAGGGAAGGACACAGCTAAGCCTCAAGCCAAATTGGCAGCTCAGAGACACTGGAGGTGTCATCCCGGGGCTGCTGAATTAGTGTAATCGGGGCTCCCCTTGCTCCACCACAAATTGGACGGTGGTGTTTTAAGAGTCTGGTCCGGTTCCTCATTTCGGAAAGCCTGGAGAGCTCTCAGCTGAAGGGGGCGATGGGTTTGGGCAGCCCACCCTGCTCATCCCTGTGACGGACCCCACTTGGTGGTGCCCTTCGGTGCCCCAGGAGGAGCTGGCAGAGAGCCGGGAGGCCGAGCGCAGGCGGCGGAGCTGCTGGGTGGCTGGTGCACGCCGGGCGGGCGCAGGAGCAGGGGCTGGGTGCTGCTCACCTCCCTCCTGCTCCCTGCTCGCCCCGGTTCTGGAAGGGGAAAGACCTCCAGGTCTGCATGGTGCCGTGCTCGGCGTTGGGAATGGCGAGGGCGAGCCCGAGGAGCCGTAACCGCTTCTCCACAGCCAGTGTCTGCGTTTCCCTCTGCCAGCCGCGACCTGGTTGCCTCCAACCGCAGTCGATCTCGCCAGCCCTACGGCAACCCCAACCACTCCAACTACCACAACTACCACAACCACCACCACCGCCACCACCACCGACACCACCACCACCACTCCAGCCGCCACCACTCTGCCCACCACCACCGCCGCCAGCACCACAACAACTACAGAGAGGGCTCCGGCAGCCACCACCAAGCAGGAGCTGGGTACTGAGCTTTCCTTTTCCTCTCTCCCCTACAAAACCTCCGGGGGCTTTCCCCGCTTCTCGCTCAGAGCCAGGATTGGTAATGGGTGCAGGAGAAGCCTCACCCACATGGTGAGAGGCGCCCCGTGCTCCGGGAGTGGCTTTGCAAGCCGGAGGTGGCACAGACTCAGGGATTAAGACGTGGGGAGGCTGTGCCACCCTCCTGGTCCCAGCCCGACTCTGGGAAAACACAGCTCTCCCTGGGGTGTCACGCTTCTGAATTAGTGTGAGGGTCGGGAAAGATGTAGAAGACCCACCAAAGTACTATTTTTGCTGTTAAAATGAGGTTCGGTTACTACCATAGATGTCACTTCAGATTTAGCCCATCGTCTGTTAGCTAAGAGACCTGTCAGGGCTCACAGGAGCCCTTTGGGTCGTGGCGCTGCCGCTCTCTGCAACGCGACCCCATCAGAGCCCCCAGGGAACCTGGGGGGGTGTCGGCAGCCACAGGAGCTCTGCTCCTGGGGTTCAGGAGGGCCAGAGAAAGCACTGCTGGAGCAGGGGATCCAGCGGGCCAGGTGCAGGCTGGTCCCTGCTCTGTGTTTTACTGGTGGCTCCAGAGAGAGGCAGCCCTCGGAGCTTTTAAAAACACTGCAGCAACAGGACCTGCGGTGAATACACTGCGGGGTGGTAGGCAGGTTATTCAGAAAGGAACCAAGCTCGGAGCAAAAGGGAACGCAATCGAAGGAGTTCAGTTACGTAGCTGGATAGGGCGCACTCACAAGCGCTGCCCTAGCAAAATCAGTTTAAAAACTGGTGCAAGGGAGCGAGCTGCAGCCTCAGCACCACGTCCGAGGGCTCAGGAATGAAGCAGGTTCACGAGATCGTTTCCACAACGCAGTCACAGCTCAGTGAGCACATGGGAAGCGCTGCTAATTGCAAAGGGGCAATTACCTGCGCACGCTGCAGCCACGGGGAACGGGAGGACAAGAGGCAGAGAAGCAAAAAGCAGTCGGGGAGCGGCACGAGGAACAGCGCGGGGCCCGAACAGCCCCGGGGACACGAGCCCAGAGCCCGAGCTGTAATGCAGGCAGACAGGGGGCCCGCGTGGCAGCGCAGGTTGGGGCTGCAGGGGGGGCTCCAGGTCACGTCCCCCCCCCTCCCCGGCATTAGGGGCTCCGTTGCCCTTTCCCAAAAGTCGCATAGCTGCCCTCCTTCCAGGGACGGAAGTTACTCATTGGTGTTTTGTCCAACCAAATCCTAAGCTACGTCCCAAAGCAAATAATTAACGCTAAAATCGAGGCGCAATTTGTGTGGAAGCTCTTAAAGCACACTGAGCTGGTGGCTTCGCTCCACCTCGCCAGAAATAGAAGTTCATCCACTCTCCAAAGCAATGTCGACAATCCTCAACTTCAAAATCAGAAACGAGTGACTTCATTGCCCCACTGGCTGTCTCTAGACCCAGTAACATAAAAATATTCTCTCCCCGCTCTGGTAGTCAGTCCGTGCCCGCTCATGCGTGCATCTTGCATTCGTTTAGGCAGGGGTTTAGCCAGGAGATTTCCCTGCAGACCGAGGTCTTCAGGGAAATGCCACGGAGGGCTTCAGACTTCCCAGCTAAACCGAAGGCAGTTGGACTTCAATGCCAACAAGCAACGAGCTATTGGTAGCCCACATCCCCCAAAAGTTTGACCTTAAGGCTCTTGTAAGAAACAAATGTGGCCTCAGATACGTCTGTAGGTGTTGAAGCATTAACTTTAGGAATGGTTTCGTAAGATTTTGCCGGTACCCGACGCTAGGTGAGCTCTCATTTCTGTCTAATCCACAATACTAACTCCTCTTCTAACCTGTCCACCAGACACCAATGGATCGTCCATATGGGACATAAGAGCTTTGGCTAATAGTAACTGGGCAAACATCACCTGGAGCCACAATTACTCTGCAGGAACTGACTTTGTGGTTAAGTATATCACCAGTAAGCATCAGATCGCGTGGGGACTCTATAGGGTTGTGATGCCATTAGAGATCCTGCCAGCTCTCAAGGCTGCAATCTGTAACTCAGTCTTAATTACTGTGTGCTGAAAGATGCTCTGTGGCCACGTGGAGGGGAGAGGAGGTGGCAGGATGTGGTCGTAGCCATTTAGAAAGCACCAGAAGTATTCCTGGTGACTCACAAGAGATTCCCCCTCCTTGAGCTGATGGCTGTGAGATGCTCGTATGCACGAACCACGAATGTGTTTAGTTCATTGAGCTGGGCTCCATGCGGGCTTGGTGTAAAGAGCCTTTGAAAATATAAACGTGTGTATATGAACGGGGACAAAGCTTTCACAGCAAACAAATTACACAAATTGGAGGGGCTTTATATACCCTCGAAGGGCTTGCTGAGCCTGGAGCTGGCAGAATCCCCTCTGATCCCAAACCTCCTGGCGTATCGGATATCGTTGTCTCTTGCAATTGTAAGGCTGTGCGTAGTCTGGAAACTCCAAGTCAGTGCCTCTGCTTAGTACTTGTTTGGAAAAGGCATTTACATGTTATTGGTTTTATTTTATTTTATTTTTTAATAGATAGGCAGCGATGAACGCTGCTTATCTCTGACTTTATTTCCCAGCCATTTCAATCTTATCGTCTGGTATGCTGGTTTTAAATTGGCATTTAAAATAAGCCAACTACACCTAGCCATCAACAGTGAGCCACTTTTGGCTGTTTACCACGCTAAGAGATGACCTTGCTGATGACTTAAAACAGCTCTGACGGCACAGCCAGTGCCCGGTCTCTTTGCAGACAGAGCAGGATGTGCTGGGGAATTTTTCCATTTTCCATTTTCCCCCTTCTGAACTATTTTCCACAACTCAGGCTCCAAAGCCTGCAGGCCAAGTCCCGAGCTCCCAAGGCTCCCTTCCAGCCCTGTGGGATGTTGGCGATGCCCCTGAGCCACATCCCAGTTGGGGTGAGCGGGCTCGTGTGCTCGCTGCAGCGTCCAGCTGCCCACCAACCTCAACCCACTGGCAAAACCCTCTGATCAGCTGAGAGGCACCAGGCAAATTCCAGCCCGTTTGCTGTAAAACCCCAAGTATCCAGACCCGAGGCTGGGCAGATAAAGGATCTGTCAGGACTTGAAGGCAGGGAGCGATCTCCTCAAGAGCTCCTGGTGTATTTTTCAGTACGGCGAGCAGGGATGCAGCCAAGCCCCCACCTGATTCCTGCACTGCTGTTTTTATCCTATTCCCAGTGAGTACTAATCACGGCGCCGTTAATAGCTCCTTGACCAGCCAGCCGTGTTATTTCTGCTCGGTGCCTGGGGCTAGCACAACGCATCACCTGCGGTGCCAACGAGGTAATCTCGCCGAGCCTCCCGCGGCTGGGTTTGATGTGCGGTTTCTGTTTCTCAGGTAACAAGACAGAGAAATCCATCCCCGTTAAAGCTCAGACCCCCTCCTCTGTGCAGCTGGCGAATCTGACGCCGGGGATGGTGTACAAGCTGTGGGTATTCCCCATATGGTCTAGCCCCAGCGAGCACTCGTACATAACCTTTACCACCAGCTCAGGTGAGAGGGGCTCCAGCCCCGGGGCGCGTGTCCGCGGCATGTCACTGCGTGTCCACGGGGGCACCGGCGTGGTGGTGGGAGGGGATCGAGCACGGCGCAGCCCTCGCCCACCAGCCCGTCCCTGCCCTGGTTAAGCAGCTGCCTGAGCAGCCAAAAAATCCCCATCAGGGCGCAAGGAAGGGTTTGGAAGGAGGGCAGAGACCACGCTGGGGTCGGCACCTCGCTGCGCTCGAAGCCCCGTGGCCGCACGTGCGCATCGCATCTCCCGGTGCCTTGGCACACGGCTGGACCCTGGGGTAGTGCCACGCAGAGGCAAGGGGCAGCACCAGGGTGTTGTTTTTGCAGGCAGCCTCCTTTAGAGCCACGCACGGCGCATGCACAGGGCTTTTCAGCGAGATGCCAAGCAGGTCTGCTTCCCCCAGCACTTTGCATTTAATTGCGCAAGCAATTTGCCAGGCTTATCACCTCGGTGATTTTCAGAGCTCCCTAATTATGGGCTTCTTACACTGCCCACTGGATGCCACAGAAGTGCCCTTACCGCCTTGCACAGGCGCTGAATCAGGCTTTCTGCATTTCTGGAGCTCCACTGTTCACACTCGAGGTTCAGTAAATCACAAACAGAACTTCCTTCGTGCCACCGGCGGGTTTTGCCGGAGGAATCTGTGCGCGCTGCTGTCAGAGTGGGGTCTGAACGCTGAAAAGCCAAGGAGCAAGCGGCACCGCAGCAGCCCACGCTGACAAATGCAGTAGGTAGAGGCTGCAATTTGCAAAGGATTGGAGTTGTTTTGCTAAGCCCCAGCCGCGTGGTGATGGAAAGCTCCAGCGCTTCCCGGGCTCTTTGCTGAAAAGCAAAATGTTCGTCCTTGGTGTGGGGGGGGGGGCTGCAGTGGGAGCAGCAGCTCTCCCCACCCCACCCCACGTATTCGGAGCTGTGACTCCAGCAATAATTCTCTGATACACGGGGCTGACACAGGGACAGGTGGCAGCTGCGAGTCCTCCTCCCTGCCTCCCGCTGCCCAGCATTGATAAAAAAAAAACAGCGCCCGCTGACCTTGGGCACGGCACGCAGCCTCTCCATGGAGATGTGTTGCATTTTGTGTCTGCTTCCAGCCCCTCACCTGACTCAGAAATCACCAGCAGCCCCCTCACCCACAGCGTGCAGCATCTTTCGGGATTGCTGCTCCCTGGTTCGGACCCGTCTCTTCTCTTTTTTTGCTTTCCCCCATGTTGGGAGCTGGGGCAGAGGAGGCAGCCCCCTGCGCCACAGGCGCCAAGGGGCAGGGAATCATTAGGAAAGAAAAAAAAAGAAGCAATATCCTCGGCTGATTGATGCTGGCCATCTCGGCGTGTCTATTTTCTGTAATTTAGGGGTTCCTACTGCTACTATTGAAACTAGAGCCTTGGCTGCCTTTGTCCCCGTGATGGAGGCTGAGCGGTGACCTGAGCCCCGGCACCGTGGGAGCCGCAGAGCTCTCGCCGTCCTTGCAGGCACAAACGCTGCAGATCCATTTCTTCGCTGGCTGGATTCTGCTGACACGAGCGCTCGGCCCCCGCTGACAATCATATGCTGTCAGGAATGCTGTCGATAAAAAAGCCCTGTTCATTCCGCTTTTTGTTTTTAATGTTTTGCAAATAGCTCTTCTAATGGTTTCTTCAGCGTGAACGCAGATAAATACGCAGTCCGTGTGCACCACCACTTCTCTTCTGCTTAACTTGACAGCTCCGTCTCCCAACAGGGCTCTTCCCAACAGTAAATGACACTTCAGAAGTACAAATATAGCTTATAGAGCTTAATGTAAAGATATATTCTTAAAAAAAAAAAAAGGTAAAACACTGGAAGGGGGAGCCGTGAGGGACTGGAGCTAGTGAGACTTCACACACCAACAGTAAATACCCGATGTCGCTGACCTGCTGCTGTTATTCGGGCAGCTTTGCAATTGGCATAGAAACTGTGGCTGTTAGGTAACCCTTTTTTTCTGCCACGAGATTGTAATTACTTTTTAAAAAGTCACCGCAGCTGCATTCCAAATCCATAGCTGTTCGATTGCGCAGCTGCTTTCCACTGCTTACCTTCGGCGCTGGCCTTACATTAGAGCAAATCCGAACGGCCCCTCTGACAGCCAGGTCCTTAATCCTCCCGTGCTGAATGCTGCAATGACAGTCACTCGTTTACTCTAAATGCACGATTGCTGTGCCTATAATTTTGTCGGCATGTGTTGCTTTTTTGGGAAGGATGGCAATTACACCTCTACCCTACCGGTGCCCCAATCCTGCACACAACTCAGCCCCAACCCCATGGCACAAAGCGCACCTCTCAGGCTGCTTTGGTGCTTCAGACCCTGCAGACCCCCTTAATTGTCCCTTAGCACTGCCTTGTGCAGAAATCCCACCCCACCAGGCCTGCTAACCCGACCTCCTCCCGTTTCCAAGCTCTCCATTAGAGCTTGGTTCCCCCTTCCTCCCTGGGCACTCAGCTAATTGAATCCAGATCCCGGCTCCTTTCTGTTCTAATCTCATTCTCTCCCTTATAAAAGCGCATCTTCCTGCACCACGCAGCTCAGGTTGGTTTAAAGGCAAATATTGAGCGGGGCAGCGTTCAAGGGAAAAGCAGCACAGGAGAGCCGGGGTACCCCCAGGCAGCCCACCCCCACCAAAAAAGCAACACCAGCTCAGAGCGGTCTGCATCCGACACCATTTCTTTAGCAAACGGCCCTTCCTTGTCCTTCTCCTTTACCTGGGGATGTCCCCGGGCTGTGTTTTGCCTTCAAGTCCCTCCTGACAGCAGGGCTTAGGTTTCACCTTCAGGAAAGCCCCTGGTACCTGGGGGCAGTCTGAAGGACCAAGTGCAGCCCCGGGTGCTGTTCTTTGGGAAGTTTCCCGATTCAACCTCCTTTTAACGCCGTGGTCTCTGTGCCAAGAGCCTTCCATTCCCAGCACATCCCCGGGGGCTGCCTTTCCTGCTCCCTGTGTGAGCAGCTCCTTATCCTCTGGGGCTATTTTGAGCCAACCCAGACGGTGCTGGGCACCCTCCGGGGGTGACTCTGGGGTTTTTGGCACTCTGGGGTTGGCGATGGGAACCAGCTGCAAACCCTCAGCTCTGGTTGTAGCTCTCCCAAGCACTGCCCTGCCTCTCCAGCCTCTTCTCGAGCTGTATCTGTGTCAGATAAGCCAAACACGGGCACAACCTTGTCTGCCAGGGCCACCCCTCTGCTATCCATAGGAGGTGGTGGGTTTAAAATCGGATTATTTCAAGACAGGTACATGAGATGGCTGCTTGTGCTGCCTCAGCTCTGCCTGGGCGGTCTTGTTGGCTGGACTTGACTTAATTAATTAAACAAGGCAAAGCATCCAAGACAGCAGCACAGCCCTTCTCAGCACTCTGCAGCGCCAAAGCAGCCAATTCGGGTAGCAGCAGAAAGCTCATTTCAAGTAGTTTTTTGTCCCATGGACACCCATGAAGGATGCTCGCTGCACTGTCCTTCCCGTTCTGGACAAACCCCACTAAGTCCCAGCTCGATCCCATCCAGCTCTGACATCCCCTGCTCGTGCCAGGACAACCTCTCTCCGTTTGCTGCGCGGTCTGGTTAAATTTAGCCCCCCGCTGCGCTGAAGGTTATTTTCTCCTCTGCTCTGTCTTGCTGAATACGAAGCGCATGTCAATGAGAGCCAGAAAATGGCAGCTCGGTGCTATTTATAGGACACAGATTTGTCTGGCTGACCGTGCACGGGAGCTGCACGCAACAAGGCAGAGCACGTTCGGGGACAGGACACCTCTCCTTGCTTGGCGTCAGCCCCGCGGACACTCGGCAGCCTGGCAGGGCGATGGAGCGCTGCTCTAAAGACTTTCACGCGCTACCAGACCGCGGCGCAGCAAGCTGGGACGTCCCTCGAGGACCTGAGGCCAGGGCTCTGTGCCCACCTCGTGTCCCAGCTCGTGTCTGGCCACGTCCCGCTGGCCTCCACGTCTCCTCGCCCAGCCTCCCGTGGCTGCTGGGACCCCGTGCCCACGGCAGGACGCGGTGCCCGTGCCCTCTGCAGCTCTCCTCGCTGTGGCAATGCCGGCTTCTCCAGCTCCAGGCTGCTGCTGAGCTCCTCAGGGCTGCTCAGCATCACTCCACACCAGGATTCGCATCCTGAGCTACGGTCCGGGCGCTTTTCTTTCCGCCCTTTTTGCAGAAGCTGCCCCCGAGGTGGCTTTCAGGCACAGGGACGCAAGATCAAATCTGTTACCCAGCTTCTTTTGCCATTATTTTCCACGCCCTTTTCTCACTGGTCTGTGCTAGGTTTTACTTTACGCCATGACCCTTTGCTGTTTGCAGCTCCTGCTAAAACGTTGAGTTGGCCTACCATTAAAAAAAGCCCCAGATCCCCGTGCTATGATCTCGAATAACCCCGTCAGCACACACACAAACGCAGTGCTAAAGCCAGGTCCTTTCCAAACCCGTGGACTGAATCCTTCTACTCATTTATTTCTCTCCATTATCCGGATCTTCCCTTATAGCTTTTTTTTTCCCTTCAATTTTCCTCCCAGCCTACACCAAGAACCACGTGGACATCGCGACCCAGGGCTGGTTCATCGGGCTGATGTGTGCCATCGCTCTCCTGGTCCTCATTCTGCTGATCGTTTGCTTCATTAAGCGGAGCAGAGGAGGGAAGTACCCAGGTAAGGGCGCCGCGCAGCAGCTTTTGTGCCCGTGGATTCAATATCCGCAGGTTTCCAGGGGCTAATGCAATTGTGCTGGGCTCAGATACACACCCGTGATTACAAGCACTTTCCTCCCTCCGTAGTGGGGACATTATTATTAGTGGGAAGCGTTTTAGTTAATTAAAGGTCAGCGAGGGCTCTGGGCTGCGCAGGAGGCAGGTCACGGAGCTGGACGCCCCTGCTCTGCGTGACCTGACCCCGATCCTGCAAATCTGCTCGTCCCCATCTGGAAAGAGGCCTTCTCAGACAAAAGCCTTGTTCCATTTTCCCAAAGTGCAGCCAAGACCTAAGAAAAGCCACCAACCTACACACCCTCTCCGGCCACCTTCAGTGCCCGTGCCCTGGTGCCACCGCGGCAGTGGCTTTTGGGGACAAACCCACAAGGGTTTTAGCGGGTCCGAGCCCTGTGGGCATTTCACAAAGCCTCTGCTGCTCCCCTGTGAAGCTTTCACCCTCCCGGCTGCTTCGTAACACCTGTGTCGGGGCTGTGCTTGCTTCCAGTGCGAGACAATAAAGACGAGCACCTGAACCCCGAAGACAAGAACGTGGAGGACGGTTCCTTCGACTACAGGTACGCTCCCGCGCGGCATGCGGACCTCCGCCACCACGTCCCCCCATCTGCCCCGCTCCCCAGCCATCACAGACCTCACCACGCTACCCCTCCGCAGCCCCCCGGGGCCACGCAGCCTCCCCGGTTGTTTCTCCCCCCTTCCTCCTCCTGCCTCCTTCTCTCCGCAAGTCCTGTGCCAAAGGGGCCGGGTCCTGCCCGAAGCCCCGGAGCTTTAAGCAAGCCGAGAGCCTGCTGTAAGGTTTCCTTCTGCCCCATCCCTCAGCCTGGCAGGATCGGCCCAGGCGGAGAGCTGGGATTTTGGGACCTGGGACGCGGCTTTTAGGAAGTGCAGATCAACCCTCATGGCGCACACGGAAAAAAAAAAAACAAACAAACCACAAAAGTCAGCTCCCGAAGCAGCCTGAGGAGATCTCGGGGGCATCGCCCCACAGCTCAGCCACTCTCCTACTCGTAAGGCAGAATCCAGGGGAAAAACGCCCAAAGTTGTGTTCAGATCAGCTCTGAAAGCACGTGAGCTCGCTTACTTGGGGTCTGCCTGACTTCAAAGCGAGGCTTTTCCGTAAGGTCCCGGCGGAACCCCTCGGAAGCAGAGCTTGGAGATTAGCCCTGCTCCGCAGCACAACAGCGCAGGCAGTGGGAAGGAGTGGGGTGAAGCCTTCATCCTACAACTGCAGCTCCTGCTGGGCCGAGTCTCAGCCTCTTCTTGGCAGCCCCGCTGCGTGCAGGCAGTGGAAGGGCACCAACAGGGAACGTGGGCACGGTTCCCACAGGAGTGACCAAGGTGCAGGAGGCTGAAGGGTTTGGCTTTGGGTTTTTGGGGTGATTACCCACAGGTGTGGGTTTTTTGCCACGTTACTGGCAGTGGACATAACATTTGGAGAAGGAATATCACAGAATATCACACCAGGAATGTGCCATGGGAGGCATGGACTTGCCAAAGCAGGGCAGGATCCCCCCATCAGAGGGGGAAGGGGGCTCAACTTTTGGGGCAGATCCTCCAAGATGCTCCAGCGTTTTTGATCCCCATCCCAGAGACAAGACGGGGGGAAAAAGCAGCCAAAGGAAAACCACCACCATGTCCGTGAGCTCTGCCCCCCGTCAGGACCACCAGGTTTCCTGGGAGAACGCCGCGAGGCTCCCAGCCAGGAGGCAGAAAGGAAGGTGAACTTGGAGGATTGATAGGAAACGCTGTTGGCTGATTAAGATTCCAAATGATTGCAGCGCGAGGCTCGAGGAGGGTGGCAATTAGTATTTCAAGCAAGGACAGGATCTGAGCTGACGTGAGCTCTGCCTTGGTTCCCCTCCCCACCTCCACATGGCATGTCTGAGACGCTCTCATCATATCTCACGTCCTTAATGCCCCGTGCATGCGACTTGCAAATCTCTGCAGCCTATAATTAAGAGATACTGTCACATCTTTCTGTTCCACTAACAGAATAATGGTTTTCCTGGGCAGAGGCTAAGCTGAGAAGCTTATTTTCAAAGCAGGAGACCATTATCCTTGGACAATGCTCTGTGCCCGTGACTGTGCCTCATTATACCAAATGCTCAAAGGCTGCACGTGGGGGAGCCGGCTGGAAACCCGGGCTGCCGGGAAGGGAAAGTTTTGTGGTTTTTTTTACCTTCTGGGCTCCAGTTCGGCTCTGGCTCAGGACAGGGACCTGTGGCACAGTCCCACGCCCCGCAGGCAGCTCAGCACCCGGCGCAGCAGCGACCAGGCCTGGTGGACACGGCGCTGTCCCCAGCCCCATAAGGGGCACCAACGTCACCGCGCTGCGGGAACCCAGCAGAGGGATGGAGGGGACACCGGGAGGTCCCTTTGGTGCAGCCAAAGGTCCTTTTGGCGACCCAAAGAGCTCGTGGGCCACCTCTGCCATGCGCTGCTGCTCCGGATCGGCTCACCCAGCTCGGACCCGTCCCCCGGCTCCATTTGGTATAACGAGGCAGTCGGCTCCATGAGGAATGCAGTGACTTTTCGTTTGGGTTTGTAGCACTGCCCCTGTGAATGCATACCTCATCATATCTCTCTCTGATCAGGCTCTTTCTGCTTCTCTCTGTTTTATTCCCATTCTTTCTTCTCCTTTTCACCTGGTCTATCCACATGGACCATGAAGGTCTCTTGAAAGGTAGGACCACGTGCTGCCAGAAATCCGGCACATTTAGCTTTTTTTTTTTTTTTTCTTTTGTTTTTTTTTTTTCCTTACTCCTTTTTGCAATTTGTTTCTTTCACAGCTGAAACTCTCCCTTCCCCTCCCTACCCCCATATACCCGCTTCCACCTAACACATTAAACAAGCCCTTCCCCCCCTCCCACCTCCTGCTGGGCTCGGGGGTACCCCCGTGCCCCACCAGCTGCATTTTGCTCCGAGATGCTCCAGGGCACCCCCGAGCACCAGCCAGGCCCCCCCTCGGGCCGGTCCCTCCACATGCAGTGGGACCTGGGGATGGTGGCAAGGGACACGAGTGAAAATGCTGGCTCCTAACCGCCCAGCACGCTCTGCCTCAGCCCTAAAAATCCTCCCCCTGGCTCCAGCCTCCCATCCCAATGATTTATGGCACTCAGGATGACGTTTCCCAAATGGTCACGAGCTGGGTGCTCTGGTCCTCTAATGCGCCCATCAGCAAACCCCACAGAAATCCATGTTAACAGGGTTATGTCGCATCACTGTGCTGATGAGGATCTGCTTCGCCCTCCTAATGCACTAACAGGATGAGCGGTGCTGGAGAGAGGTAAAACCAGGGGCAGGTACGGGAAATGCAGTGCCGGGCTGTCTGGCACTGCAGAGCCCCCATTAGGGAAAAAAAAACCTGGTTCTAGCTCCAGTTTCGACTGAACCCACCCCAAATCTTGGGAAAGGATGGTTTAAATGAAGGGGTCTGGGTTTTGCCACTCTCTGCTTGACATTAATTGGACTTTCTAACCACCAGTCCTGCTTGCAGACTGAATTCTCCCCCCTCCCGCCCTCCAGAAGGAGCCGCTTACAAAGCTAACGAGTTATTATTTATTGCGATGCCAAGTTAACACGAGGTCTCCGATACTGGGTTTGTATCACGGCTTCATTTCCAAAGTGCTGATGTAAGGAAACGCGGTACGAAGCTGCAGGCTGTGCTGTGGGACACCGAATTCCTCTCCCACTGTAGAGCTGCTGCCAGTAAGGGAATGGCAAGGGAGAGATGTTAACGCCTTCCCCGGGCTGCTCCCGTGGCTGAAGAGCTTTTTGCTCCTCGGCCCCGGCTGCGTGTTAGCCGTGCCTCCATCAGACAGACCTTGGTGTGGTGAGTCCCAAGGGGTGAGATCCAAGGGGCGAGTCCTGAGATGCTCTTTTAATGAAAAATGGCCCCGAACTCAAGAGGCTACAGGAGACTTGTTTTTTTTTTTTCTCAAAAAGCAAACAAACAGGAGGCTGAATTACTTTTGTGATTGATGACTCTGCTAATACGGCGCTGAAATAATAGAATTTTTTGACCACTTTTGAGAAAAGCAAAGAGCAGGGTAGAGTGCCACACCGGGAGGCGAGCCTGCCGAGACCAGGACTAAAACAAAATGAAATACACAAAGAGACAGGAACGGTGGGGAGGAAAAAGCATTTAAGATACCTAAGTGATCTCTTTAGGTGTACTACACAATTTGCATGCTGAACAAGCTCAGACATGAACTAATGACTAATTGATATGAAAATTAATTTTTATACAAAGCAACCCACTCATCCCTGATGCAATCTTTATTTATGAGGTACCAGTCCTTGCCCTCTGGAGAGAAAACAGCTTTTCCCCAATTTTTTGCTAAAAGGTTTCTTTAAAAGGTTGCTTTTTCCTGCGGGTCAGACTATTTATTTTTCAGTGACCTGGCTTAATCTTTCTAAGTGAAAAAGAGAAAAGGGTAAAGAATTGAGCAAACAAGCTCAGATGCTCTGAAGTAAGCCTGGAAAGGTAAATTCCCACGAGTTTTGGACGCTGCACAGAACTTGGCATCCCGTGCGTGCCCCCTCGCAGTGCTTTGAGAGTTCTCCCCATTGCATGGAGCTACCTAAACTGCAGAGCGGGGTTGTGCAGGGAAGGCTGGGAGCAAAGCTCACTAAACTGAGGTTACCCCAAGGTCGGCTAAAATGCTAGGAGAAAGAAAGAAAATCAGCGACGACAAGGGAAGGGTATTTACAACGCGCACCCAGTTGGGCTGAGCTGAGCAACCGATGTCATCTGGGCATAAAAAATTGATTTTTAAAAGGAAAAAAGGCGTGGAGGGTGGGCTCGCACAGCACCAAAAGGCAGCTGTGGGGTTTGGTCAGCGAGGTGGCTGTGTCCTGTCCCCACCACCCGGGGTGTTTGGAGGCGCCCACCTTCCTCCTTCCCCCCGCTCAGCACAGCCGCGCGCTGGGTGTAGGTGTGAATATCCAGCCCTTGGCTTGTGGCCACCTCCCTTGCGAGCCCCGTTCTCAATCCTCGCTGTGTCTGTCTGTCTGTCTTGTGCCACCAGCGACGAAGACAACAAGCCCCTGCCCAACAGCCAGACGTCCCTGGACGGCACGATAAAGCAGCAGGAGAGCGACGACAGCTTGGTGGACTACGGCGAGGGGGGCGAGGGGCAGTTCAACGAGGACGGCTCCTTCATCGGGCAGTACACGGTGAAGAAGGACAAGGAGGAGACGGAAGGCAACGAGAGCTCGGAAGCCACGTCCCCAGTCAATGCTATCTACTCGCTGGCATAGCGCAAGGACACTGGCACCACGAACAGCCCGAGGGGTTTGTAGTGGGCGGGGGGTTCACCAACAGCCGCCGCCGCCGCTACCTCCGACACAACCGTGTGAACAGCCGAGGACAGTAAAAAAAAAAAAAAAAAAAAAAAAAAAAAAAGGAAAAAAAATAAGAAAAAAAATAGAAAACAAAAAATAATCCAAGCAAACAGGCAGACCAGGTGGCTGCCAACGCCATCTTATCCTTCGCAAACAAGCAAATGGCAAGGACTCCCGAGGCGCGGACGGGCTGGAGCTGGAATCGGAGCTGGAGGAGGCGCGGGGTGTGGGGTGCAGGAGCAGGGCGCAGCCAGCTCCCCCAGGTCCTTTTTGTTCTTTCAGGAGGGAGCAAAAATTCTGTTTTAATATTTATAGGAAGGTTCCAAATAACCGGGAAAAAAAAAGGAATTTGGGGGAGGGAAGAGGGCTGAGTAGAGCACCGAGAGTGTCATGAAGGCATGAAAGAAAAGGAGAGCGGTCGATATTTGGGCACCACCCCCACGGCACGGTACTGCGGTGATGTCCATCCTCACGCAGCACCTTGCCCAGAGCCTCTCCCGAGCCTCCCTCCTGAAAGACCGAGCAGCACCTCGACTGGGAACCCGCTGGGACCGCGCCGTACCTCGTGTGGGTGCTGAGCCTCCGTGTCCGTGTCCCCTGGGGGCCACCCACCACCTCTGGGTGGCTCGGGGGAGTCCCTGGAGGACGAGGAGCTGCGGATGAGCCGGGGGGGGTTGCTGGAGGATGGCCGGGTGCCGCTCGCCTGCCGAGCCCGGGTGAGGCTCGCTCGCCAGGGTAACAGCACCGCTTGGCTGGGGAACCACAGGCAAACCATTTCCTTTTAGTCTTTGCTTTGTGAGAAGCTGGGGGAAAAGCGCCCCCCAGACCATGCCTGCTTTCTTTTAAAGGCGACTCCATAAACCTTATGTAGCAAAGAGGGAGTGGAAGCAGGACCGGTATTAACAAAGGACGAGGGGACCAGAAATTGCTTATTTATGAAAAAAAAAAATAAAAATCAGGACAAATGACCACAAACACACACACACAGCCCCAACCACCCGGTCAGGCCGAGAAGCACCCGCGGGGACCGGGTGGCAGATCCCTGCCATCGCCCTGCGCTGCAGCTCCGGAGCCCGGTGGGGACACGGCCACGCGTCCCTCGGGGACAGCACCGAGCTCCTCGTCCCCCCCAGCAGCAGGGGATGCTCCAGGCCGTGTGTTCCCAGCCCAGCCCTCCTCCTCCCATCTTACAGTGGCCTTTCCCCCCCCCCTCGATCAATCAGCCTGAGAGACGCTTCCACGCGCGCGGACCCCGCCTCCGCTCCGTTATTTTTACATATCAAGAAAACGCAATTTAGGTCCAACCCGTTAGCACGCCGCAACCCAAGCGTCTCGGGTAGGAGTGCTCCTTCACATGCCTTACACAGCTTCGAACTTCCCGGGAAGTTTTAACGAACTGATCCTAACCCCCCACACACACACCGCTTCCGCGCCCCTAAGGCGGCGGGCGACCCGCCGGCCCCGTAGGAGTAGGACACTGGGAGCCGTCCCAGCGGAGACCGCATGGATCCTTGTAGAGGGTAGAGTTTTCTAACAGCCAGCACGTAGTGGCCAACGCCGTGTGTATCCTCCCACTTCCTGCACTTTCGAAACCAAAGGTACCTTCGCGGAGAGAGATCGGATTTCTTCGGACCATTTCACGGACGTCGAATGATGTTAGGATGGATTTTTCTTTCGTTTCTTTCCTACGGAGGAGGGTTTTGTTCAGCTTAATGGATTAAATGCAATAGGATTAAAGCAATTATTCTTTTAGCTCGCAAGCTGGTTTGCTACGAAGACGTATTGCTAACGAGAATAATTCTACTAATATGGATTGCTCACTTGTACTTTGCCACCTTCTTGAAGCTGCTAACGGCACAACGACCCTGCGCTTCGGGGAAGGGAGCCTGGGCCGGGGCAGCACCATGCAGAGAGAACGGGAGAGAGCTGGAAGGGAAGGGAGCAGCAGGCGAGGTGGGTGCACCACCTAAAAAGGGAGGCAGAGACCCTGTAGCCGGGGTGCTGCTGCCCTGGGGCTGCTCAGGAGCCATCCACCAGGGTTGATGCGATCCCATCCCCACCGCTGCTGCCGATGCGCTTTAAGGCGTGCGTCCCCCAGCCCACCCAGCAGTCGCCTTCAGTTTTTAAGCAGACGCATTCAGCTCGATGTAACGCGGCTCTCGGTCACGGGAATCGCCAACGTGACAGCCCACGGCTGTCCTGACAGCGGCGCTGAGTTTGCATAACGTGGAGAGAGCAACCTGCAGCCTTCGCCACCCAGCAGCGGGCTCCGGGCGCAGAAATTCTCCCTGCTTTGTCTCTCTGCTTAGCAGACCGGCTGCTCACGGGGACCAGGAATCTCTCGGCTACCACACGACATCTCCAACCCTCGAGGAAGCTGGTCAGGCACCCCTGGAAGCAGGGTGGTCTGTGCCGTGTGTCTGTGTTATGTGCCATCTGTACTAAAGCCTCCGTTTGTGTCCTGCCCTTAACCACAGCTTTACTCAGCAAACCTCTCCGGGTCCTGTTGGAAGCAGAGCAGTGCCCACCATGCGGCTTTTCCATGCGTGCCCAGCACACCACGGCCTTGGCGGGCAGGAAAGGAGCTGGGCTCGACCTGGCCAAGCCCCAGAAAGCTCTTACAGAAACACCAACGGGCTCTGAGCATCGCCTTGCTTGTGAGCACGCAGGCAAGGAAGGCGTTGCCTGCAGAGGGCCCGTGAATTACTTATGGGCTCGTATTGGCTGCATGTAAAATTACATAAAAATTGTAAGATATAATGATTTTTTAACTATATTTCATTGCAACTTCCCCTAAAGTTTCAGCAGAGATCAGCAGGGAGGTGCAGGAGGGCTCAGACTCCCCTGCAATGTCCATTGAGGGGTCCCTGTCCCTCGCCAGGACCCGCACAGCTGCTCCAGAGCAGGGCACGCTCTGACCTCTTCTGCAAAAGATGTGTCTTCATTAAGGAGCTGAATTAGGAGCAAACACTTAAAAATTTAAAAATATAGAGAGGTGAGCCGGACCCAAATCAAAGCGCTCTTAGAAGCTGGAGAAAAGTAATTTGGGTCCAACTCCAACCTAGCAAATTTGAGCCTGTTTCTAGAAGAGCCTGAGCCCAAACCTCAGCCGTGCCATGGATTTGGAGACCGGCTCTGCTGGGAGCATCCAGGCACGGCCCCCCCGAAATGCAGCACGTGGCTTCGTGACGTCCTTCGTGCGCACGGCCAGCTGGCACCGACCACAGGGGCACGAGCACGAGACAGCAGAGAGCAGTTGCTGCTTTGCTGTGGTCTTTAGGCTGCTCCTGTCCCCTCTGGAGTGACGTCGCAGTGAGACAGAGAAGCTGCGGGAACCACCACGATTCGGTACGAGCCCCCCAAAACCCTGCTCACGGAAACACCCAAAGCCCACCCCGTCTGCAAGCCAGGTCCCAGCACCCCCATACTCACAGCCCCTGTCCAGTGCTGCCTTCTTGCAGAGGAAAGCCCCAAGCCCACGCAGAGCGGCCACTTCTGCCCCTGGAGATGGATCCGGCCACGGGGAGCTGCTTTAAGCCTCCGGGTGAGAGGCAGCCTCCTGCTATGGGGCCGGGGCGAGGGGACCACCAGGCAGCAGCACCACTCAGCTGCCCCATCCATCCCCTGCCTGCCTCATCCATCCCATCCTGTCCTATCCCATCCGTCCCATCCCCATCCCATCCATCCCATCCCCTCCATCCCGTCCTATCCCATCCTGTCCATCCCATCCCATCCCCTCCATCCCATCCCGTCCCGTCCCATCCCGTCCCATCCCTTTCCAGCAGCTGCCTCCCCTTGGTGCAGGTCCCCAGCGTAACGTCGCCGTGCCAGGCTTAATCGTGTACTAGCAGCAAACGGTTTCAGTTAAGCAATAAAAAATAAACCAACCTTGTAAACATCACAAATAATAATAAAAAAACCCCACCCACCTTCTATTTCTTGCACTACGACCTGTTTTATTGAGGGAAATAACTGCTTTTCTGGTCCTAACAGAGCACCCGCTGCGTCAGTAGCTCCCCCTGCCCAGCACCACCCGTCTCTCCGTGTCCTTCGCCAGTGGGCATCGGGCTCTGGTTGTCCAACGCAGTCTAACCCCGTGTCAGACACACCACAAACCTCTTCCTTTGTGGCTCAGAGTTCTCCGTGTTTGTTTCTTCTGCTCACACCACAAAGAAAAATACTGGGCTGTTTTGTTTTTCTTTCGTTTGTAAATATCTCTCCATCCGTCCTCTCTGTAAAACCACCTGGTTGGTCTCAAGTATTCTATGTATTTATTTGCCTTTTTTTTTTTTAAAGCAAAAAAACACCCAAACACCTTTGTGTTAACCCACTCGTCCCAATGAGAAATGTGTATCTGAAGCTGTAAAATTAACACTTTACAGCCAGAAGATTTATGGACTCCAGAAAAAAAAAGTGTTTAATATAAGGACTTATAAACTGACTGCATGAGAGGTGAAAGAAGGCCAAAATACTCAGATATCATTTTTTTGAATCACTGTAAAAAGAAAAGACTGGATTTTTTTGTATAGAGAACACTAAACATATAATAAAACATTGTTCAAAACTCACGCTAAGCCTGCGCTTCGTGTCCAGCAGCTTCCAGCCCCAGGCAGCTGGTGGCACCGCGCTGTCCCCCGGTGTCACCACCCAGCTTGGCCCCATCCATGCCCCCAGCCCTTCCCCAGAAGCCCAACCAGAGCCCTGAAATTGTGGTGGGACTCTGTAGGTTGCAAGTTGGACTCAATGACCTTGAAGGTCTTTTCCAGCCTAAATGTTTTTACGACTGTCTGAAAGGGGAGGTGGTGGCACAACGGGGCTGGTGGCCCCAGCCCGAAGCACCCCACGTCCTTCCCACGTCTCGGTGGCCCAGCTGGGGAAAATGAGACCGAGCAGTTTGAAAACCTCAGCGTACAGCTCTGCCTCCCTCCCAGCGCTGACCACAGCACAAACACCCTCAAGCAGTCCAGAGAAGCTGGAGCAGGGAGCCCCCACGGCCCAGCAAACATATGGGGGAGCATCAGGGTTTAACTCAAGCCCCCCCAGACCCGGCAGCTCCTGGCAGAGGAGCTCTGTCCCTCCCCAGGGCCATTCCTGCACTTCCCAGCCTTCTCCGCCTGCCCCCGAGGCTCCGGAGTGCTCTTAGCAGCAGCTCCCTCGTGCAAAGCCTTGCCGAGAATGGGCTGAAGGAAGGGGGAAACGCAAGGCTATTTCACTAATGAAGATGTAATTGCTGCGGTCCTCGCTAATAGGATGAGAGTATTAATGCTTCCTGCTCCAGAGCTGCAGCACAGGCTTTATCCCCCCCTGCCCACCCCCTGAGGAAGAAAAGGACCCCTGCAGGTCCAGGAGAGCTCCCCAGCACTTACTGGGGCAGTGGAGGCTCCAGACGTCCTCGGTCCCCACCCTAAAACCCTTTGGGATGTGGAAGGACAAAGCAGGAATCGCACTTAGCCTTGATGCAGAAGTTCACACCAGCTGGATCCCAGGGATCCCTTAAAACCTTCGGGGATCCCCGAAATCCCATAAAACCTTTGTCCTATGTCCAAAGCAACAGGAACCGAGGGCTGAGCCTCCAAGTCCCGTGCAGGCGGAGAGCTCTGGGGCCTCACAGGAGGGTGTCGGGTGGTGGCACAGCCAAACGGGGCTTTAAAAACATCCCCAAGCGACACCAGGACTCAGCCCAACACGGCCCCCCTGGCAACCTGGATTAGCAGCTGCCAAAAAATAACCGACCTGATTTTGATTTCAGCTCCAGCCATCCTGCAGCACCCACACCCCGGTGTCTCCTGTCCCAGCAGAGGCACCGACCTTGCGGCCACCATCTCTGCTGCCCATGGGCACCCGCTGCTGCTCCACCAACTCACAACAAAACCCCTCTGAACCAGGGGGGCTCAGCCAGGAGGACCCTAAATAAAACCTAAATCCCCTCGTTTTCCCACCCTGCTCACTCCCTGATAGACGCTGCCCATTCCCATCTCTCACGTTGGAAAAAAAAACAATTTTATTGCCCTGAAGTGAGTGACATGGGACCCATCCTCATCCTCACGATCGATGCAGGGAGAGACCCGCACGCATTAGTGCTCGGCCCTTTTTATGGCATTTAACAACACCCACCTCTCCCCTGACCTCTGCCTGCCCGCTGGGGCAGCAGGGCCTGGATCGATGCTGTCAGCCTGCCCCGATTGCCCTCGGAGGGGACAGCTCCAGCTCCACCCTTCCCCATCACTGTAGCTAAGAGGCATCCTCCATCAGCTCTGGAAATATTCCAGGGAGCCCTTACGGAGCTGTTTCCCCCCCCAGCTGCCATCGCTGTGGTCTCGGTGTCTGTCTGCATCAGGACAAACACCCGAGGGGCAGTGATGCCCTGGTAAGAAGCAGAGAAACCCCTGGGGAGCTGCGAGAGCAGAGAGGGAGGAGAGGGGAGGAGAGGATCAGAGGAGAGCAGCAGGACCCCCCCCTCTCCTCCGCCCTCCATCCATGGGCAGGGGCACTTCACCTCCCTTGGGTTCCCTCCGCTCGGTGCCTCCACCAGTCCTGCTGGGCAGGCAGCAGCGTGCAGGATCTCACCCCATTCTTCCTTTCTGCCCACCAAAAGTGAGTGGAAAAACGATGTGTGCCATGCAGGGAGGGCTGGGAGCCCGCTGGCACGTTCACGCACACACCTCCACCAGGCACTGGTGCCCAGCACGGAGCACCGGCCACCCCAGCAAGGGCTGCAGGAGGTTGCCGTGCCCAGTTTCTGCTGATCTCACCCCAAAACAGCAGCTGAGAGCAGAGCGCAGGGCGAGGGAAGGACAGGGCGAACCATCGGGCGTCCTCCCCGCCGTGCGCCCCGGCGCGCTCCCTCCTGTGCCCGTCTGGCTGGAGGAGCCCGGACCGCTGGAGCTTTGCCAATCAATAGAGATACTAATGCCTTAATTACTCCTCCGTAATTGCAGCCCATTAACCTGTGGACAGCCCGGTGCCCATTGATCTCCTTCCGTCATTAGCAGGGCTGTGCCGGGGCCGGCAGGGAGGGAAGGCTCGGGGCGGCCGTGCCACCTCCCCACCGCTCTGCTCCCGCTTCGCCCCAATGCGATCGGAACCGGCTCCTTCTCCCCGACCTCAGCGCCCGCAGGGTGTCACAGAGGAGGGCCTGGAGTGTCCCTGCCACGTCTCATAGCGTCACCCCCCCCGTGCAGACCCCTCGTTTTGAAGCCGAGCTCTGCAAAGCCCCCGGCCCCCAGCGCACGGATCGGGTCCCACCTCTGACGGTGGCGCTTGGCTCAGCGGAGCTGCCCCAAATTTTTGCTAGAAAGCAACTTCCACGGCACGCACATAAACCTGGCGGTGTTCACACACAGCCACACGCATCAAATTCAGCAGGGGGGGCACACACACACGAGCCCGGCTATGTACGTACATAATTACACACATCCATGTAGCCCCGGGGGCGTGCGTATCTAGAGGAACACGCTCACGCTGCACAGGGGTGGGCGTCCCCGTTGAGACTCCCCCGGCTCAGAAAGGTCCCTTTTTTTTCTTCTCCCACCCCCCAAGACAGGGGGCTGCTCAGCCCTGGGGCCCCACACCTGCTCCGGCCCCAGGGACGGGGCGAGCCGGAGGCGATGGGCGCAGGCGAGGGGGTTTCTGCCGGAGCCAGGAGCAGCAGCAGCAGCCACGGCTGCTGAGCCTGGCCATGAATTATGCATGATGCTGCGAGTCGCTCTGCCTCTCTGACTGGTCCTTGGACTGTGGCAAGTGAGGTAAAGGCAGAAGGAAAAAAAAATAATAATAAAAAAAAAAAAAATCACCCTCTCCAGGGACCGGCGTGGTGGTTGGCAGCGAGCGAGGGAGCGCGCACGCAAGGAGGGAGGAGAGGGAGGAGCACATCCTAATGCAGAGATGCTGCAGTGGCTTTGGGCGCACACAGCCACGCTCGGGCAGGCAGCACCGAGCTCTGCCTCGCAGCACAGGCTCCGGAGGCAGCGGGGCCCCGCTCTGCCCTGGCTCATGCACAACCGGAGGAGCCGCACGAGGTAAGCGCGTCTCCATCCTTTCCTTTTTCCAGCCGCCCCTGGAGGAAGGAGGCCGCGGATTTCTGGGCTCCTTTTTTCCAGCCCGGCCAAAATTCTCCTCCGGCACCCGCGGTCGGGAGAAGCGGCCGCATCCTGCTGGGTCCCACGCGGGGCCGGGGAAGGAGAGAGCGCGGGGTGGGCTCGGGCGTTTCTCGCCATGCGATGGTTCCGCAGGAGCGACGCAGGCTCTGCCTGAGCTGGAGAGGAGCCGGGGGTGGAGTTGGGAGGAAACGGGGGGGGCTACGGCGGTGTCACTTGTAGCAGGGGCTGAGCCGAGCGAGATCGGCACGGAAATAGCTCTTCTGGAGCAGGTCGGGGATTATTAGTTATTAATTAGTGCAGTTGCGCCTTCCCTGGTGCGCTCTGGCCGGTGGCACTTCGGAGAGCCCGGCTCGCTCGGCTGCTGCGTCTGGGGGGGGTCGGAGGGGGGCTGCAAAGCTCCGGCTGCACAAAACTCCTCCAGAGCGGCACAGCCCGAGGAGCTGAGCTTCCTCCTCAGGCAGGGAGGATGAGGATGAGCGTGGTGTCCCAAATCATCCCCCCCCCACCGCCTCCCACGAGGGCTGCAGATCTCGGGTGGGGTGGGAGCTCTGCTCTGGGCACAGGGGGTGTCGCTGCGATCGAGGCTGGCTGGGGATTTGCAGCTGGAAGCGGGGGGGGCTCGGTGCAAAGTCATGGACAGAAGCTTGCCCATGGCTGGGAGCACCCGGCAGGGTTTGGTGTGGCTCCTTCCCCACTCGGGGCTGGCTGGATGCTTGGCTGGGGCAGCAGCAGTGTGCTGGGGGGGCTCCCGGTCCCTGTTTTAAACTTCCTGAGCTCCCCCTCCCTCTGCACCCCATCCACACCAATCCCCCCCTGCTCCCCCAAGGCTTGCAGCACTCCCACGAGCCTCAGTATTGTTGTTCTGGCTGGGCTGGGGAGCATTCCTGAGACTGTAATATCCCTAAAGAAACACTGGTTGCTTTGAGGGCTTCTATCCGAGGGCTGGGAACAACCCGAGCCCTCCCCAGCAGCAGGCTTTGGCCAAACCCACAGCTCCTGCTCCTCCCAGGCCACCTCCAGGCACATCCACGAGGAGCTCGCAGGGCACAAAGCTGAAGCACGAGATTTAGGAGCAGGTTTGCAGCCCCAGGGGAACCTCCCAAGGCTGTGTATTTGGCAGCAAACTGTGGAAAGGGGCAGGGGAAAATCAGAGCAGGGCACCACACACACCCCAGAGCTGGGGGACACCTTGCTGAGCACCCTGCTTGGGGCAGCGAGGGAAAGCAGACGTGTGACTGTGCCTGACAGCAGCACCTGCACAACCACAACCCCAAAAGCTGCCTGCTTTGCTAGCACAGCTCCCCAACTCTCTAGAAATAACCACACTTTCCAGGGAGAGGCGAGGAGGGTCCATGCCCGAGGGAAGATGCCAAGGTTGTGCTCAGCCCAGCCGCGTGCCCTCCCCGGAGCACGACTATGAGGGACGGAGACAAAGGAACCGCAGGGCTCCTCTGCCTCACCTGATCCAT